TTAAGCATAATTTATTTATTATCTATATAGTATATAAATTTTTTGTTACTAATGAAATAGGAAATGAAAAAGAATATAAAAATAAGAAATAACAAGTTTCGTTGTGCTTTCATCGCTTCGGTCAATGCCGAAACCTCATTTATTACCAAAAATTGAACTTACTCGATCTTTTTTCGTATTTGGAATTTGGAAAATGTAGATTCTGTGTCTTTTTTGTGTTCCGAAGATTCTCAGCCTGCGAAGAAGTATTCAGGGATAATCGTCTAAATTTGTGGTAAGTCTGTTAATTTTTTAATTCTTGAATTAATTCGCAAGATAGTTAAGAAAATAGTCGAGTCCGTGGATGTACATACAATTTGAGTTTTAGCTCGCTGCGCCATCGCGCTGGTTCACTTATAAGAAATTTCTTCGTATTTCTTATTGAATTGGTTTAATATATTTTTACTTCAAATATAATTTTTAATTTATTAAATTGTTTTTCAGATGACGATACCATCTTGGGGATGACGACGAACTCATTGATTAAAAAACAGGATGACGCTGATGGTTTTTTATTTTAGTATATGCTCGCAGACTTACAATAAAGCATGACTGGCCAGTGAAAAATGACCAGTACATGAAAGGAAGTCTGTGTCATAAGTCTTTGGAACTATGCGAAAAGAAAAAAATATAAGATATGATGGAGGAGCTTCCGCCGTTATTATTTATTGTATTAAAAAAAATTGCGTTCAACATTGTTTAATTATTTTAAATTTGTTTTTTAAGTTAAAATATATAAAAACTTCATAAATAAGGTAAAGTGGGGGAAAACGCCAGCTCGAGGAAGGTGCCACTGCTATATTATCGTTAAAAGAAAGAAAATTTAGATAAGTGACCTATTGGAATTTGCGTTAAAAACAATCAGATTACATCGACATAAAATAGCTGATTTTTCACTGCTATTATCAGTCGGGTTCGTTCGCGATGAAGTACGCTAGGAAATCACGAAAATGAATTAGTACTTCATTTTTTTCATTTTAAACAAATTAGTGGCATATTGCTCCAATCGGGGTGGCATCTTCCCCGCATGCTGGGGCAAAACGCCACTTTTGAACCAAGTTGTTAAATTTGTTATAACTATTAAAATAACAATATAAAGTGATAATTTTGTTTTTCTTATAATACATAAACGTGTTTTTTACAGTCCTCAATGCTTGAGATTTGATTTCATACATTCATTACTTTTTTATTCCAATTTTTTCTTTAGCTATGACGTATTCCCCCGCTTTACCTTATTTATAAAAATGATATTGTCCTAAAAACATACAAAAATTTCGTATAGCGAATTTTATACAATATCACATTTTTTCAGACAAGATACAATTTCAAAAAATGAAATTTTTCAAAAAATTCAAATTTAAATGCCAAAAATCGCACTTGCAGATACTTCGATAAAAAAATGAGCAGCTAAAGCTAGAGCAGGATTACATGATTTATGAGTAGCTCACATGTATTCAAAAAGCAACGAATGTCAATGTTTCATTATTTACCTAAGAAACTTGTTTTTCACAAATGCAAGCATAAATGCAAATGAAAAATGTAAGTACTCCTTTAGTTACACTTGAAGAGATTTAAAGTTTTTGAAAGGTCAGTCCGATACAAAACCGCTATTTTATTAATACCGTCAAGTTCAGGACCTTGACTATCACCTACACTTTTAATTAATAATTATTTTTTTATATTTATCTTCGTTTTATTATGATATTTTTTCCTGTGAATATTTGGATTTAGAATTTTTGGGTTTACGATTTTATGGATATTTTGTCTGTGGACCTTTTTTTTCCTTTGAACCTTTTGGTCTGAATCTTTTGGTTTGGATATTGTGTTCCCCCATCCAGTAGTACAGCTAGACATGTCCAAGACGACGCATTTACTACTCATAGACCGGATATTACAATAAAAATTTTGAAATTTCTTGATAAAAAATGAAAATGTTCCTTTATCAACTCACTTCACATTTACATTTTGCAGATGAACGTGCCGAGCAGTACTTCTTGTGGAATTAATAATAAGCACAATCATACTATAATTAGTTTGAATCCATGGAATCCAATTGTTAAAAATGCCTGCCAAATCCAACATCGAAATAATAGAAATATTTTCATGGTAAGTGACAAAAAAGGCTATTTTAACCAACGTATAAATACGAAAATTCTCAATCAACTAAAAATAGATTAAAAAGTTCTTTACAAGGGTTTTCGACGGTGCAACTAGCAATTACCAAGACGATGCTTTTACTACTCATAGACTAGATATTGCAATGTAAAATCTGAAATGTTGTTGATGACTCATTTCCTGAGAAAGTAAAAGTTTAGCAAGTGACAAGGTTCATTCAAATGATGCCAATTTTCGTCATCCAGTATTTTTTTAAGAAATTCAAAAATGAAACTATTATATTGATAAAAAAAGTAACGAAAAAGATTTGAGCTTTTAACGCTCACTTTAACCAGCCTGATGAGGTCGAAAAAATTTCGACGTTATTCGTAAATAAATTGACGACGAACAAGTTTTTACACTTGTTGTAAAAAAACATACAAAAGTTTTTGCTTTAATTCATTGCCTAAATTTATTGACTGGCGAATTCTAGTACACTAACTATTCAGAAAAATTTTTCTTTAGTCAAATATGAAGAAAATCCATGTTATTTTAAAAGCCAATCCGAAGCAGAGTTGCAACGAATAGTACAACTAGTAATTACCAAGGTGATGCTTTTACTACTCATAGCCCAGATGTTACAATGGAAAATCTGAAATAAAGTGAAGAAAGAACATGCAAGGGTGGTGATAAAAAAATGTGACCCTTCCAAAGCTGAAATTGGAATCAGAAATTCAAAATATTTGACACACTTACCTTAAAACAGAAGAAATTGTAATTCTAAGTTTTTCATTTCCATCAATTCAAAAATACGAGAATCAATGAAATGTAAAAAAACAATCGTACAACTACACATTTCCAAGATGACACATTTACTACTCATAGGCCAGATAGTACAATAAAAATCTGAAATTTGTTGATGACTTTTTTTTTGAAAAATCAAGAATCAAGGGAGTGGCAACGTTTATTCAAAATGAAGAAGATGAAAATTGCCAAGTTAATTGAGATGAAGATATTTAGTTGTAGGCAAGTAATATTCACAAACACTAATTGATTTCTAGTCTTAAAAAGATTGCGTACAAGACAGTATAACGTTGACGTTTTGGACGTACAGTATCAAGGCGTAAGGTACAGCCTTAAAGCATCGACTAAACATTTTTACAGAACATATATGATTGAAGGCAAAGTTTAATGAGGATAAAAAAATGAAAGAGACTTGATTCAAGTGTAAAAAAATTTCGTTGCAATCGCAAAAATTATCAAATAGAAACAAACGTCTTGGAAAAATTGAAATATTCCTTTAGTTACTCGTGAAGAAAATAAAATTCTTTTTAGTCAATCCAAAACCAAACTGCTAATTTATTAATCCTTTGAAATTCATAAGAATTTCGGCAGTACAACTAGCATTTACCAAGATGATGCATTTACTACTCATAGACCAGATAGGACAATAGAAAATTAGTTGAAGACTATTATCTGAAAAGTCAAGAGCCGAGGCAGTGTCAACGTTTATTCAAAATAAAGAAAACAAAGATTTATATCATGATAAATTTGTTTATTCATATAATTTAAAAATGTAAACGTGTGCCGAGAATACAAAATATATGAAAAAGACACATATTTACGTAAACACACGTGAAAATTGCCAAAATGTAGAATAAGAAAATTGAAGTTATTAATCTAAAACAAAACCCGCTGAGGAAAACAACGCTGCTACTAGAAATCATTCAAGATAAGGTCTTTGTACTACTCATAATCCAGACATTAAGTAAAAAATCTGAATTTTGATGAAGATTCGTTTTTTAAAAAATCAACTGCTGAGCGAGTGGCAAGGTTTATTCAAATGGTAAAAGATTAAAGAACGCATCAATCAATGAATTCAAACACTTTGAATGAGACAAGTATAATGTTCTTTTAGTTTCTCGTGAAAAATAAATCAGCTCAAATCACTTGTACATTTTGCAATATTTTCTTGAATATTTTTAAATTACTTTTTTGAAATAAATAATTAGGAAAATATTAATTATGAAAAGCAGTTTAATGTATACTAGTTGCAGACCCGGCTCAGTTTAATAGAATTGCCTAGATTCATAAATTCATTACCATAAATAAATTACCGAGGATATAATGCATAATCCTATGTACACTAATGTGGATTAAATGTATATTAATTTATAAAAAATATATTAATCAACGAAATTCCTCAGAAAAATAATTTTTTTCTGTTATTTTTTAATTAATTTCTCCGAAAACTTTTACATACTTAAATTTTATTTTAATTACTACTTGAAAACTCGTGAAAGGGTAACTAAAGCTGTGGCATAAGCTCAAAGGGAAGCTCTTGAAAGGGTATGTACTTGCTTGATCTGCTTATATCTAGCGCTCGGTGATAGGAGCCAACGCATAATTTTGTGTGTGTGCCATACTATGAGAGTATTAAAACATTTTACAGTGAATCGGCGAACAATTTAAATACTACGCGGGAGTAAGTGTACTTGCTTACGTAATTGATCGGAGTCGAGCGATTGTTGCAAAATAATGTATTTTCGTCATGCGAATTCAATGATCGGATACTTGTAGAGCTTGTTTATCGCTCAATGATCATGTTGAATTTTCTGCTTTTACCGGAATCAGCTAAGTGGGTCGTCGGAGTTGTTAAGTTTGAGAATAATACTTCAAGAATTTTCTTTAATCATGCCGATAGAAAGTACGTGAATGGGAAATATTGGTAATATTTTATTCGAGGTGAGAAAAGTGAGTAAAAAAGTTTTTCACATTCACAAACACAGTTTTTAACAGTTTGAAATAATTTATTGTTTTTCATGAAATTAAAGCATTTTTATGTGAAAGATTTCGTAGCTTACTTATATACATTTAGAAGTCTAATTCATTGCATCCAAATGTCTGCGACCAATTCCAGCAGTTAAAGGCTCTGAAACGATCATCTACTGCATTTATATGCATTTTGAGTTCACTCTGGTATACACTGGGTTAACATCGATTCTGTCCGATGGAAAGCCGGAATTTCCTATGCTTAAACACGTTTCACCACTCTGTTGGACCAGACAAAATCGATGTTAACCCAGTATACAAATGATTTGTGGCGGCAATGAAGGTGTTCTTGCGATCAACAATATACCACTTTGATGTGTTTATTGAGGTGATCCTTGTATCCAAATAATTTGTGACAAATTTTACACTCAAAGGGTTTTTTTAAGTTCGTGTACTGCACTCACGTGACGTTTAAATGAATGTTTGTGTCCAAATGATTTGTGACAAATCACACATTCAAAGGGTTTTCTAAGTTCATGTACGGTGCTCACGTGACGTTGAAGGTGATGTTTTTGTACAAAGGATTTTAGACAAATGTCACATTCAAAGGGTTTGCTACGAGCATGTACTGCATTGATGTGAGCTTTGAGGGTACCTTTTTGTCCAAATGATGTATGACAAATCTCACATTCAAAGGGTTTGCTACGGTTATGTACAACCTCTACGTGAGTTTTGACCTCGCATTTTTGTCGAAATGATTTGTGGCAAATGTCGCACTCAACGGGATTGTTTCGATCATGAACTGAATTAATGTGAATATTGATATAACTCTTGGAAGAAAATGATTTGTGACAAATTACACATTCAAAGGGTTTGCTCCGATTATGTACTGTATTTACATGAATTTTGAGGTTACTTTTTTGTCCAAATAATTTCTGACAAACCTCACACTCGAAGGGTTTGCTCTGATTATGTACTGCACATATGTGCTTATTTAAGTTACTTTTGAACCCAAATGATTTGTGACAAATGTCACAATAAAAGGGTTTGCTACGGTTATGTACAACCTCTACGTGAGTTTTGAGCATGCATTTGTGTCGAAATGATTTGTGGCAAATCTCACATTCAAAGGGTCTGCTAAGATTATGTACTGTCATCGTGTGCCTTTTGACATAACTTCGGTATCCAAATGATTTGTGACAAATCTCACATTCGAAAGGTTTTTCCGTATTATGTTGTGAATTTACATGAGTTTTAAGATAATCTTTTCTTTCAAATGATTTGTGACAAATCTCACATTCAAACGATTTGGTATGATCGTGTACTCTATTTAAGTGAGCTGTTTTGGCGAACATTTCAACTTCCTTATGTTTTTTAAACTCCAATTGGGAATTCGCTTGAAATGCACTATTATCACGATCGAATTCCTTTTTTATCGAAATCACCTGACCGTTATCATTCGAATAATTAGGCTGAAAATGACTCTCTACTTTTACAATCGGTAGACACCTTTGAATATCAGTTTTACAGATGTTTGTCGTCACAGACTTTAGTTCAGATTTAACATTTTTACACTCAAAATCAACGAATATATTTTCATTTATGATATTTGCCTGATTTTCGTTTTCAATTTTCACAATAGGTAGAAAACTTTGATTCTCTGTTTTACAGATCTCTGCCGAAAGAGACGTGAGTTCATGTTTAACATTTTTGCACTCAAATTCTACGAACACTTTTTCATCTATCTTTTCTTGTAAGGGCATGGTCTCATTCGTGTGATTTGCCTAAAATTAAAATTGTATACTTGTAATCGATATTGGAAAAACGCATTATGTTCAAAATCGTGGTACTCACTGATGATTTATCAAACCCAGATGTTTCAAAGATTTTGCCTTTGCAAGCGTCCATTGGATGAAAAACCGAATCGACTCCGGCATATGAACAAGTGTCGTCCGGCTCTTTCTTAACTCTATAAAGAATAATCAAGTTTAATGAAGCAATCACTCAAAAAAAAAAAAAAAAAAATAGCACGGCATGCAAAAAAATGATAGTTATACCTAATCGTGTCCTCGCTGCTTTCCATCACTCGTTCAAGTATAGATAATCACTGTGGAGTTTCATTCAATTACCAGAGAAAATATTCGAGGTTATATGCCTCGAGTAGCCAACAACACTGTACCTGGAATTCACCAATTTGTAAACACTGTAGGAATTTAGCTCTTTGCTAGAGAGACCGAGCGCACTACTCGAAGATCATCGAGATGTACCCCGGCGATCGTGATAACTTCTTGACGATTCTTTACCCCCTCTACCTTGGACGAGCCATACACAATAATGTACTGCGATGTACAGCATAGGCACTATGTATTTGAAACTCATCCGGGATCGAAGTGAAAATTACATACACTAATTTTCAAAAATGTTCAAGCTTGGGCTAAAAATAATTACTTGGACTCTGCAGTAAAAACTAAATAGTAAATTACGGGCTCTGGGAAACGAAAAGCTGAAAAACTTTAGAGCACGTGTAATTATAATCCTAGGCGCGATGATCGTATTTGTCTATTTTGTTCAAAGTAATCTATAGTTTTGATCACTTCATCCGAAGTTTTGTTAAAAATTATTTATGTTACAATGAAGTATACACAACTTCAACTTGACAGCCAGACTATGGGAACGAGGCAAAGATTGTCAAAATCAGTGACTATTGGATGACGCTGTTCCTGGGAAATTCTGGATTTCTTATCAGAGTTACAAGGTCGGGTACTTGATCCGATGCCATGAAAATCATTGTTCCAATATGTATTTATTTTAATGTTCATAATATAAATCGATTTGTACCAATGGGACTACGGGAAAGGTAGGCAGTGATGGATTAGAAAAAGGGAGGCGCGTCCCCACGCAAACTTTTTTATTTGACGCTCACGCTATTAAAAAACTGTTATTAGAGCTTGTGCTAATTTTCAATGAATTTAGAAAAAATTTTTTTGGTTTAAATTAAATTATTGAATCATTTCCAAGATGCAGGAATCAAGTGCGGTCAAAGAATAAACAGAAAGTGTAACAATTAATAGTACGCGAAATCTGAAATCGACACATCGTTATGTATAATGGAATAATGATAGATAAACGCCCGAGGTTCGGGTAAAACACAATAGTTTCAGGACAATTTTTATTGAAATTTTAGAAAAATTATACATGAGTATGTAAAAATATTTGCAATTGTTAATTATCATTTATTCTAGAAATCGTGGCATACATAATCTTTACAACCTTAATGAAATCTTTTTTGATGTTTGATCAAATGCACTTTTTGTCCAAATTTCTGCTGACACTTGTCGCATTCGTAATCCTTACGACCTTCGTGAACTATCTTTTGGTGTATAAGCAATTGCCCTTTTTGTCCAAATTTTCTCTCACATTTCTCGCATGCGTAGTTTTTGCAACCTTCGTGTACTGTGCTTTGGTGCGTAACCAAAGTAGATTTATGTCCAAATGTCTTCCCACATTTTTCACATCTGTAATCCTTGCGACCTTCGTGGACTGTCTTTTGGTGGGTGTGCAAACTACTTCGGTGCCCAAACTTTTTTTCGCACATGTTGCAAGCGTAATCTTTGCGATCATCGTGTACTGTTCTTTGGTGCTTCTCTAAATCTGATTTATATCCACATTTCCTCTCGCATTTGTCACATGCGTAATCTTTGCATCCTTCATGTACAATTCTTTGGTGAATCAACAAATATGATTTATAAACGAATTTCTTCTGGCATTTTTCGCATACGACATCTTTTCGACCTTCGTGAACCGTCTTTTGATGTATGAGCAATTGATGTTTTTGTCCGAATTTTCCCTCGCACATGTCGCATGAGTAATCTTTGAATATTTTGTGTACTATCTTTTGGTGAAAGAGCAATAGCGATTTTTGACCAAATTTCTCTCCACACTCATCGCATAAGTAATCTATACGATTTTCGTGGACTATCTTTTGGTGTCTAAGCAATTGTTGTTTATCTTCGAATTTCTTCTCACAATTGTCGCATTTGAAATCTCTACGACCTTCGTGGACTGTCCTTTGGTGCCTCAATAAATTTATTTTATTTCCAAATTTCTTCTTGCACTCGTTACAAATGAAATTTTTCCGGACATCGTGTACTCTCTTTATGTGCAAAAGCAAATTATGTTTCGAATCGAATCTCTTCGCGCACATTTCACATAGGTAACTTTTGAAAACCTCGTGGAATATTTTGTTGTGCTTGAGTAAAGTTGATTTATTTTTAAATTTCTTCTCGCACTTGTTGCATGAGAAATCTTTGCTATCTTTGTGTACTAATTTCTGGTGCGTCGACAAACTCGATTGTTTCACAAATTTCTTCTCGCAGTTGTCACATGCAAAATCTTTGTGACCTTTGTGTACCGATATTTGATGTCTACTCAAATGACTTCGTAACTCGAATTCCTTTTCGCACTTGTCGCATGCGTAATTTTTCTCCTTATTATGAATTGTATCTCGATGTGCTACCATGCTCGATTCTAGTGTAAATGCCTCCTGACAAGTATCACAAACGTATTGTTTTTCGTTGAAAACAACATCGTCGTGTTCACTTGAAATATTTTCCGGGACAACTTCCTCAGACTTCTTTTTACTTTTATTCATGTTGGTGCCGAAATTAAACGACGGATCCTTCTATTTACGTCACGAAAATTTAATGAGTAAAATTTATTTTTTGGTATTATGGCTTATTTGATCGTGAAAGACAATATTCAAACTAATTTGATTTTACTATAAACATGAACAGTGTGTCGAAGGAATATGTCAACATAGTTTAGGATCATAGTGTTTACAAGGTATCATATGTATCTGTTTATGTATTATTCTTACAACATTTGAAACAATTTAAAATTTCAACTGTTTTTTTTTTTTTTTGATTAATTTTTTGGCCTTCTAAAACGAAGTATTTCTTGCCTCCTGACCGAAAACACCGAGTAAATATATCCTGATATAGAAATGTACAATAAAAAATTTTGACGTTCATTCCAAAATTTTTCATTCCCACGTCATGGCTTCAATGGTGTGCTCTATAACCTTCGACTGGGGATGGGCGTTGGTACTAGTATAGTGGTTGGATATAGTTATTTTGATTATTTTCATAAATAATTCGACGACATGAATTTTTATCATCAAAATAATATGAATGTAACTTTTGTTAAATTTCATAATCAACATGTTCAACCCATGATGCAAGAGTTTCTTTGAAATGTATTATTAAGACAAAAGTGCATTTATTATATTTTTTAGGTAATAATATAAATTTTTTTCAAACGCTATATCGATTACCGTATTTAAACTTGTCAATTTAAGCAATTTTATGAAACCACTGAATAAGCCATCGTTGAAGTTTAATTTTGTCATTTAATTACTCATTACTAAAGTATTAAAATATTGAATTATTCTTCAAAGAATTATATTCTCATAAATCGTCGAAATAAAAACTATAAAAATGTCTCATAAATAGATAAGGTTTCTTTCGTACTTATATTTTCATTCTAATTGTACGAAATATCACTTTGCATTATGAAATTGAAAGCATATGTAATAAGCTATTCATCGCCCGACAATTTTTTCTCCTATTTCCTAATGGATGCTATAAATTTTGAATATTGTTTTTAAATAACATTTTCATCTTTTTACATGTATATTACATTCTCACATTGTTGGAATATTTTATCAGGAACTTAGTGAATTTATTAATAAATATATAAAAGTATTGGTTCTAGCCGGTTTCGAAAATATCAGCCAATCAAAATATTTTCAAAAATTATTTCAATCATTTTTTAGATTAAAATAAAAAGTTTTTAAATGAAAATCGTTCTTCATAGTCTTGAATTTTTACATTGTGGAAAGTTTATTCATGGATACCAATGCTTAGGTATTCCAAACATTATTCTCATATTTTTATCGAAAAATTCTTATAAATTTAATTTATTATAAACATACCAAACTTTTTTAGGTTATAAACATTTATTTTTATTATTCTAATACGAATCGATAAAAAAAACCTTATCAAAATTCGTAAAAAGTCACCCTTGCCATTGGCCGTTTTGAGAAGGCCCCTGAGCGCTACTGAATATACGGCTTTCAGGGGACTTTAAATTAGGAGCCTTAATAGTTCCATTGATGAGTGTATAAACTCAATTTTATCATTTATTTAAATTATTAGCCTTGAAAATTAATGTTTTGCACTTATTTTATCGTATTTACGCGAATTGAATAAAAAAATTTTATTGGAAAAAATTGGTGCGTGGCCGCTCGTAGTCAAGCGCCGCGCGCAGTACGAGCGCGCTTAGCTATTGAAATTCGTAGCGTCGCTGTTGTAACGAGCGAGAGTTATTTATCACATTTTGTCATCGTTTTATTATTTATTTGTTAACTAAATATTTATAATTTTAAAAATTATAACTTTTTAATTGACAAAGAGTGTAGTCTATTAATAAAATCGTTATAAGTAATGACATTTCTATATAGTATACGTGATAAAATCATTCTTTTTACTCTCCATTACTATAAATCATTGTATAATCAGCGTTATCATTCATTCCATGCATTTTGTAAATAAATTTTTCTAATATTTAATGAAATAGTATGATAACTAGATCAGATCAGTTATAATAAAATAAAAATAATGCTTTTTATTTACATCAATATTACACTTTAACTGAATCTAAGTACTTAAAGCAAATGCATATTTGAAAAACGTAACTTTAAGTCGAAAAATATTTTATTCAACTTCTAAGGTTTTTTCTTTTAATTTCGATTAGATTCAATAAAACTGAGTATTCTTTTTTGCGTTTTTTGGAAAAAGATTAATTTTAATGTATGTGGTACCCAAAATGTAGCTACTATACCTCGGGCGAGACGATCGACGAGCAGGTTGCTCTCAATGAATAGTTAAATGATGATTGTTACGAAAAATAACGTTAAATGCAAAAAGCTCTAGTCATACTTCTAAATATTATAAATATTATAACGGGTAAACAAAACTTCACTTAATTATTTACAAAAAAACGCAAAATGAGAAAAAAACTTATTACGTAAACTATACGAAAAAGACTAAAAAAGAGCGTTGTGTCTCATTAAAAAATAAAAAATTTGAAGTTTTAATAGAAAGGAAGAAAAAAGTATTTATTTTAAAAATGTATTATTATGTTATACTCCCCATAGAATAATCATAGTATTTCATTATTAGAAGCTAATTTTCCTCAAAATAGCTAATCAAAGTATATCAGGGTGCATGTTAATGTTGCTCATGAAGATTTCATTCAGGCAAATAATTGTACACTTTACTTGTATGCACATAGAAATTGTATGTAATAATTGAACATGAAATGATAATATTCTAATCAATCAGAGAATTCAATTTTCAATATGAAATATTTAATTTCTGCTGAGGATTCATAAAAAATAGTATTGTCATGATCTTTATTTTGGTTTCAATTATTACACCCATTTTATTTGATGAAAGTGCACGAGTACTAAGTATCTCAATTATTTCCAATCTTAATTATACCTTGACATAATCTACTTCACATGAATAATCATCCTATCCCATTATTATTGTTATTCAATGTTCGATATTATGATTCGATATTTTTCTAAAAAACAATAATAGTACGTGCAACATTACACAGTGTAATGCATTAAAGTTATCCATAATTATAATTAAATTACAAGAGTTGACATCTTCAAATATTTAAAGTCTTATATACTCTTTGATTATAGTGTAAAGGTTAAAGATTTTCGATTTTCAAATCGATGAAAGTCTCAATACGGGTAACTATCCAATTAAGATAAGAAGACAATCGAACTTGAAAATCTGAATCTATTACGAAGCCCTAATTGCTCACTACGATATCATTAGCCGTTCGTCGTACTGACCTAATTAACAGATCATTAGTGGTTACTTATCCTAATTATGATTCGATTGTCCAACTTTAGGCATTTGAATAAATGAACGTTAAGTAATCTTAACGATCCTCAACTCTTTGGGAACGATTTAAAGTTCATTTAATCTCGAATGTAATAATCTTATCTCGACTCGATACTCCGAGGAAGAATCCCCTTATATATAAACCTCGGAACCTCGTTTTCAATAGTTTTTGAATTCAATCGTCTCTGTCTTCTCATCATGGGTTCATCATCGCCATCTATGCCGTTCACTTGTCGAGTGCGTCGATTGCTCGATTTTCTCGAGTTCAAGCTACGAGTGGGACTTCGCGGTGGTAATTATTCCCAACGAAATTCTAATTGTTTAAATAATATACACTCGATTCTCACGTTATTCTCAAATTTTCAGAAACAATGTTAGCGCTTGCCAATATAATAACTGGATTGGTGCCATTTGTCAACTCTACCTTACTAAAATAAAGTACTCAAGCTGTACTCGAATGAAGAATAGCAATAATTGTAGTCATCATTTGATTTAATACGATCAATAAACAGCTTGTGAATGTGAAATAAACAAAAGTATCTCGTTATTTCGAACCCAAAAGTTTTGAAATTTTTTTACTTATTAAAAAGATCAAATGACTATCAAATAATAGCTGTTACTTTTCTTAAAAGTCTATTTTACACGATGCGCGTACATACCGCGTATAGTAAGTTCGAGAGTCCGAGACTCGTCGTAGCTGCGTTTCCACGAACTTTGGTCGGTAACGCCTTGGATCATTATTTCGATTTTCATATTTACGACGCACTCGCCCAACGGACTTTTTTTATGGAAATGTGCAGCCACGGCTAGCAACGGGTCGTTTTTTCGTCTATACCCGCGGTATATTAACGACGCACGTGTTCGTGATTCCGAGAATATCTTGCGTGCCACGACTCTCCGCTACTTAGATGCTGCCGCTGCCGCCGCCGTTGCTGCTTCGAGATTTCTTTGATTTCGAAAGAGAAAGAAAGAAAAAAGGAAAATACGAATTTTTCGATAACGCGTAAGGTGCGAATCGTTATTTAATTTTAAAATAAAATATGATAATGAATCATCTAAAAAATATAAAATATAAATATAAATACAGGGGACGAGTTTGACTCTTTTCGTTTCAATGTAATACGCACGTGTAAAAAAAGTTTATAGTATTGAAATAGCAGCAAGGATTGGCTTACAATCCCACAGGTTAAACAATAAGAATTGACGCGTTTAAATATATTAACAGGAAGTGCGTTACGCGTGCATGGCGTTGCAAGCGCAATATACACGAGTAGCTCGGTTATATATAAAATCGTGCATTGTATATACTCAAAATATAGAATTAACAATTTACAATTTACAATTTTATAGTAATCGAGTAGCTTAAAGGACAGAAATCTCTCGTGGCTCGTTACAACTATTCCAGCACAGACAAGTAGAGGCCATATTGGACCACAGCTAGTAGTACTAATACATATTAGACGATAAGAGCGCAAAAGACAAGGACGATAGAAAAAAAAAGATCAGAGAACGAGAAAGAGGAAGCAGGAGGGAAAAGTTTGCGTATGTGTTTAGCTATACGAAAAAAATTCACTTTCATAGACCTCCCTCGTCTATACGTCTTCTCTCTTCATCTCCTCCTCCTCCCTCTCTCTCGCTTTTCGAGGACGATTATAAACGCACTCGATGCGCAGCGCATACACATGTAATGTAATTCAAGTCTGTGGTAGTGAGGGGGATGAAGAGTCGTTTCTCTCTCTCTCTCACACACACACGCACGCACATCTATACGCGGAGTGGCGCTCGTACAGTAGTGCGTACTTTTACACTCTTTTCGTGTAACGCTCTCAACCTCGTGTCAGTACAGCCGTAACCGCCGTAGTCCGTACAACGTGTCCACGCGCGGAAAGAAAGAGAAAGAGCGAGAGAGAGCGAGAGCTTCGTCGGCCCACATGGACGTATCCTACATTTTCCGAGGCAGTCATCATATATATACGTCGTCGCGCGCTCGTGTGCGTGAGCAGTCTATATTAAGCGCAGCTCGGTGTTGCGTGTAACAAGCGCACGCAGCAGCAGCAGCAGCAGGACTCGAGCATCCCTTCGCGGCTGGATTCATCCCCCTCTACCATATATCGCCGTTGGAATCAAAGGAAGCTTACGAGGAAGCGGCGACTTACACAAAGGAGAAATCCGATGGTAAGTTTTCTTTGTTTAACATTATGTGCGTTTAATTAATGAGTAAAGACAAAAGGTAAATGGAGTAAGTAAGTGAGAGAGCTTGATCGAGAGCACATGTTTTTGCTGTCGGAGTAGCAGTAGCACCAGCTGCAGCAGCAGCAGTAGGATACAAAGAAAAAGGAGCTAGCCTCCTCTCTTGAATCAATGTTTTGCCCATCGGCAGAAAATTCAATGCAATAATCGAGCAAACATAGCATCATTTTTATCAAAATCTTCTCGGGCATACTACATATACACACACACACACACACGACTACTACACAACATTGGAGCTTCGTAAGTCGGCCACGGCACGGCGCCCTGGCGCAAGCAGCAGCAGCAGCTAGAGCCAGGCCAAGAGAGCAGCAGCACACAGCCCACTGTATATAGTATGTGTGTCTGTGTATGTGCGTGTGCCAGCCAGCAACGGCATATAGCAGCAGCAGCAGCATCGTCGCGCAAGCAGTAAGGCCTTGAATGGGCAGTCAGCATCTAGCTGTTAACGAAGCAACAAGCGCATCGTGTGTTGCTGCGTGTTGCGTGTCTATACATACGTGTATATACCAGTGTCGCGCGCGCGCACACACACACACACACATACATACATATACATACACACCCACTCGCCCGCGCGGGTCTCTGTCTCTCTCGTCAGTCAGTCGTCCAGGCGCGAGCGAGCGCGCGCGTGTGTGTGTGTGTGTGACTGTCATATAGCATAACGCAGCAGTGCGCTGTGCCGCCGCATACATACGTACACGGTACATACACATATATGATACACATTCGCCTACAAAGCGAGCGTCGCGAGGAGAGTTGCTGCCTGATGTTTCGTTCGTGCTAGAGCGAAAAAGAGAGAGAGAAAGAAGACGTGCAGCGCGCTGGGTGCGAGAGCCGTGCTCGCCGTAACTCGCTGCAGCTGTACTGCTACTCCGCTGCTGCTTCATATTCATGTAAGTGTGTTCGTTTGAGATTGGTATTATATATATATATATACAAGTGTGCGTGTATACGTATATGAATAAATTTGCCGTGTGTCTGTCTTTCTATATATGCGCTCCGTTCCTCCTCTCTCTCTCACTCTCTATGCGCTACTATGCCACTACTATGATATACCTAATGTATAGTTTATCAACTATAAACTACTTTTGCGCGTGTTTGTGCGCAGACGCACCCGACAAACAACGGTAGCACACAGAAAACTTTACATATATAACGATGATGATGATGTTACTTGCGCGCCCGTAAGTTCGGACTTTATAGGGATAACATATATAGATGTACGTATATATACGTGCAACTTCGAAACGGAGATAGAGACAGATAGAGAGGGAGGCAGGGAGGGAGGGAGGTAGAAGAGGGACGAGTTGTTCTGAGCGCTCCCGTATATACGCCGCCCGAGCGGAGAGCTACAAGGTACAAGATAGTTGAAAACTATACGTAGCTTTTCAAACTTAGCCCTCCGTGGTCTCTCTGGTCGCGCTCTCTTTCCGCGAATCGCAGCTACCCATCCATGCGCGCAATGTTATACACATACACATACACATACACACATGTTGAAACACGCGTGCCCGCGCGTGGCGGTGGTGGTGGTGGTGGTGTGTATAGTACCGAGAGAGCGCCGAAGGCAAGCGCCTAAATCCACCCCGTGCGTGTATACGATATATGTATATGTATAGTCGCGCGTTCGCACGCGAAAGCCAAGTGCTGCTACTGCTGAACACTGGCTTTACTTTATATTGCACACACTAACGTTGCAGCTGCACACGCAGCGCGCGGGTTGCAGCATTGCGTCGTCGTTCTGTGCTGTGCTGTGCTGCGCTGTGGTGGTGGGTACTGTTTTTGACATTATTTACCTATATACTTTGACAACCGTCATCACAACAATAACAACAACAACAACAGATAGTTGTGTGCATTAAAAGCTGACTTTTCACAGGCGCTGTGCTGCTTGTGAATGTATATAGAGCCCCAGCACACACATATATATATATTGTGCAGCTCTACAACACTACTGCTGCACTCTGCAGTCGGCCAAGCCATACCTACACAGACGCACAGACACACAGACGCAGTAGTGTAATAGTGACTGCTATATAGTAGCGAACTCGCGCGCGCGCCTGTCTGTGCTTCTTCTTCTCATGGTTGTTGTTGCTGCTGTTTGTCTGTCTGTGTGTAGTTCTTCTTCTTCTCCGTGTACTGCAGAGCTCCGATTTGTGCGCGAGCCCTATCTATATGTGAGTAGTGCAGTTTCTATACACGCAAAGTCTGTGTAGTGTGTGTGTGTGTGTGTACCTATAAGTTAGCTATAGAGTGGAAGTGTGTGCAGCGCAACGCACAAGGCGCTTACACACACACGCACACAAATACACATAGTAGATATATAGATACGTATAGTAGTTGGCGCAACCAACAACATATACGCATATATATAATACACCTTTCGCAGAGGTTTAGTGTGTACCGAGAGTTGCTGTTGCTACTGCTGCTACTACTAGTTCTTCGGCTACTTAACTGCGCGCGTGCGCATGTGTCAGTGTTGTCCGTCTGTGTGTGTGTGTGTGTGTGTGTATCTTCCCAACGAGCAAAAGTAGAAAATATATAGTAGTCGGAGACACGGACCCCGTGCATAGATATAACCGTGGTGTGCTGCTGCATATATATAGATATACAGTACTCGCCGATTCCAGCGCACTACAAGTTGCTGCTGCTGCTGCTGCTGCTGTTGCCTGGAGTGTGCAGCGTGTCACAAGCCTCAGCGCGACCCTTCAAGCTCTCTCTCTCGCGCTGAGTGCTCCGTGTGCACGCACTGAGCAGTTCCTTTAATCTCCACTCTCAGCCTTTGCCATGCAGGCCTAGCAAAGTGTGCGAGTGTATGTGCGTGTGTCTTGTTCTCGCGGGCGAGTAGTTTAGAACAACGGAGCAACAACGCAACAACAATTGGTGCAGGTAAAAAAAAAAAAAGCGATCGCACGCATATACAGATTTACATGTTGTGTATATAGATGCACGTATAATACATACATCGGTGTGTGTCAGTTATGTGCCCGCGCGCGCTTCTGTGTGTGTGTGTGTGTGTGGTTGCTTGAGTCAGTGTCTGTGTGTGTGTGTGTGCGAATGCCAATGCAAGTTTTCTATATGCATGCTGCACAGAAGTTGATGCATCGGAGGCCGTCGTCTCGTCGTGCAGGCGCTGCCTCTCCTGTATTATCCTACTGTGCATAGAAAAAAAAAAACATTCGCCGGAACCTCGGGATCAGTTTGATTTTCTTTTTCTTGGCATTAGTTAGTTAGATTTTCCTTTGGCTCGCGCGACCTCGTTTTCCATCCACGTATGCCACCGCACGATCCAGTAGTAGCTTACGGTATCAGTTGGACCCTTTTTATCCTCTGCTACGGCTGCTGCGGGCTTGTATATACAGGACAACATAGTGTCGGTCTCTTTTACCCCCTTGCGCTATACTTGTGTCTCGGCTCTCTCTCTCTCTCTCTCTCTCTCTCTCTACTTCGCGCGCTCGCTCCTAAAAAGTCCACAAGGGGGTGAGAGAGAGAGAAAGAGAGGCGCGCGCGAGGGAAGCGCCTGCTGCTCTCGTGTAAGTACACGAGTAGCAACAACACGTATTATAGAGAGATGTACAAGTGCGGCGAGAGAGACAGATCGCACCAATATCCCAAGTCCCAAGTAGTATTAAACGCGCTATGTAAACTCGCAGCCGACTTATAATGCCAAGCATACACATGTAGCACGACACAAGGGTCCCAGTAGTAGTACAGTTTTAATACACACGGACGCGTTTTATAGGTATAGTGGGGTATTATAATATATTTAAAATGCCAGTGCAGAAGCAGCAGCAGCAGCACAAGCAGCAAAAGTATATATAGATATATGTATAGTATAAAGTTGTTGTAAAGCGCCGAGGAGGAGAGCTTTTTACGCCATCGTCTGGTCGAGCCGAGTACGAAAAGAGAGAGAGAGAGAGAAGGAGAGGGAGAGCCAGTACTCTCTTTTTCGCCTCTCTCTCTCTCTCTCTCTCTCTCTGTATGTGTAGTGTGTGTGCTGCGCGTTAGTGGGTATGCTGCTGCTGCTGCTTGCTTGCCTCGCTCGCTTACATGCCGAGAAACGAAGCCGCCACGGAGAGAGAGAGAGAGAAACGGGGAGTTCTCTGTGTGTGTGTGAGTGCTGTATATAAATTGTATCGAGGTACCTTAGTGCCTATATACCTCTACATTCTACGGCGCCCGTTCTACTATACCTAGATTCCGGACTTACCGAGTCAGTCTTTCTGTCTGTGTGTGTGTTACGTTGAGTCGAGTCGTGTGTAAGTATGTGTATCTGGCCTGCGCCTGCACTCTATAGTCACGTAATTTTGCGCTCTCGCCTTCTCTCTCTCTCTCTCTCTCGCTCTGTCTTTCGTCACGCATGGATACTGATTTGGGCCTCCGTCGAGGTACTATCTCCCAGAAGAAGAACCTGTGTGCTGGTGCGCGCGGTATTATCCATTATTTTACACGTTGAAGCTGCTGCTGCTGCTGCTGCTTAAATTGCTGCAGGCAGAGGGTGCAGCGCGGCGTCTTAGAATATCAGTTTTGTATCCTTTCCTTCGAACGACAAGAGAGAGAAAGAGAGAGAGTTGACGTTTCACGTATAGATAGTGTATATAGTAGTATTTTATCGTTCACAGCTGACGCAGGTCACTGCTATCTGCTGCTATAAGCTTCGTTTTTATGTAAATACATACTCACCACACCACAACTCGGTACTCGAAATTACTTATATTTACATTTGCCCTCTGGATGTGCAGGATTATATGAAAGATTCGAATAATTTTTTTTTTGGCTGTAAAAGCTCAAGAATAACATTGAAGTATGCCTTAACGAGTGTTGTTAATCGAATGAATTGGGTGCATAGAGACTTTAATTAAAAATGATTCTTAAATACCAATGTCTACATGATTGCAATTTTAACATTTTTAGCGTCCAACTGAAAAATAATATGCAGCAGATAAGGGATGAATTGCGTTTATCAGCCTGTTGAGGAATAATGGGGAGACCTTTGCTGCACATTTTATATTGTTCTGGAAACACGCAAAATGGAGTACTTTATTCCCATTGACATACAAAGTAATTGATCGTAAATTTTGTGATATGCATGTATATTGGAAATCATCTTTGGAAAGTAGCTCGTCTTTTGGGTTACTATTTTTCATAGGTAGAGAGTTATTATTTAAGCTTATGTGCTTGATTCTGCATGTGCAATTTTGCTTGTATTTTTTTTTAACTGTTGCCTTCAATTGATATTGTTTTTAGTTTTTGTTTCTTTTATAAAATTTATTTATTTGTCAAAAGTTTAATGTACTTTATCATTTTATAAACTGAATTTTGTTTTAAAATATTGCATGGTAGTAAAACGGTTTGCATTTTGATTTAAACTCAATCAGTACAGTTTTTGAAAAGCAAATAAAAACATTTGCATAAACATTCCACTTAAATCTTATCAATTAATATAAATTTATGATCTAATGTACTTTCATGTCTCGCCACCCTTATGTGTAATAATACTTGTATTGACATCTAAAGCAGCTCTTCATTATTTTTCTTGATGCAATTTCTACAATCTTTGTATTTAATAATTCTGTATTCATTATGTTTATGCAACTAATTTGTTAGATACGTATATTATAGTTTATATTATTGTTAAAAACTGTTGAAATAATGGGACTGTCATTGCTTACAGGAGCCCAATGCGGGTTTAAGTGACATGGCATCCAGAGAAAAAAGAAATTTAGTGCCTTCACAAAAGAACAAACAGAGGGCGAATGATAGTTTATCAGCAGAAACCAATAACACTAGTGAAACCAATAATTCGAGCATCAATACCACTCCCAGTACTGGTAGAAAGGCAAAACAGTCTCTAGCAAATAACGTTAGGAATCAAACAGCTCAAGAAGCGTCAGAAGTTGTAGGAAGTCAGGCAACATCTAAAGTAGAGGCAGCACTTCCACGTAAACGAGCCATTCAGACAGCTCTCAAGAAAAAGCAGAAAGCTAAAAAAATATTAATCAAACCAAAGGTTCCAATTAAAACTCTTAAGCGCATAGCAGAAGCTAAGAAAATTTTAGGCAAAAAGAAAAAAGGACCTGCCCCCAAAATCAATCAAATCAATATTAAAACAGAACCATCTGAAAACAATATTAATCATACAGACTTGAGAAATAGTACGTTATCGCTTATCTCACCTTTTATTATTAATTTGTTTATTTAATTACCCCATTATGAATTTATTTTACCTTTTATATTAATCATACTTTTAAATTCTTCAGAATCTAAAACTGCCAAAAAAGCTACGAAAAACTCGGCCAAAGCTAACGAAGAAGCTAAAAAATTGATAAAACCTCCCCCCAAATTGTTGAGGAACAGTAGATCCTCCACGGCGTCGCAGAAGCAAGAGGACCTAATCGTCGAAGAAGTCAAGATAAAATTAGAACCAATTGATTACGAATCGACCATCGAGTCGGTCGTCGCAGCCTCATCGATGATTATAGACGATACAATTGTCAAAGTGGAGGAGGAAGAAACCGAAGTGGAAGTCAAGAAGCTCGTTAAGAATCCCTTCAGCGGCAAAAAGAATTTGCGAAACGGCAAGCTCCGATCGAGCTCGCACAAAGCCGAATTAGGTGAGTTTTTTTTTTAGATAAAAGCTGTCAATCTTCTTTTCTGTTTCTATCCTTTTTTCACCACCACCACCACTGTCCTTCACAAACAGTATCCCCTTTGACTCATTGAATCCTCAGTAATGATGGATGTGCTTTAATCAAACGAAACATCTTACTTTTGTTTTTGGCATTTCATTAATACCATAATTTTTGCCTCTTATACTTTTAATTTCCGTTGATGTAACTTGCATAATTACAACAAAAAAAGCACTTGGAACGTTTTACTACATATGTTACTCGCATTTGTTACAATCACATAATGATTTGGAATGAAATTTTATATACATTCTTTGAATGGTTGTCATTAGATTTAGATTTATATATGAAATATATATTCAGGTATACATAATAGCCACAGCACATATGTTTATCTGTTAGTATTGTTGTTGACTTTTGCAAACAAACTCTTTCTTACATACTTATGCATCGATGTTTAAATATAAATTATATCACTTATTCATTAATGTGCATTAAAAGCTTTGTTATTATGTTTTTTTTCATATATTACGCGATAAAATTGAGAGCGAAAATTAGGGTCGAGTAAAAAAGTGTGCGTAGGAGTGTGACAGAAACGAAAACCGAAATCGTTTATACCTCCACCGATTACAAGAAAACAAACAAAAGAAAAAAAAACAACTGCCAAAGCCAAATATCTCTGTCTCTATTACTATTCATAATTCAACACTACTCATCTCCAAAAAAACCCTCTTGTTATCGCGTGTCTATTTGTTATCCAAAAACCCAAACTTCAGCAGACGCCGAAAAGAAGGCGATAATGTCGGACGAGGATCAGCAGCAGCAAACGTCAGCCGAGAGCGGCTCGTCGTCGTCGTCGTCGACGGGTCCGACCGTGAAGAGCGACGTCGAGCTCGCGCCCCACCAGTTCATCACTGTAGCGCACATCGAAACGACCAGCAGGTCCTACGAGGCCGAGGACATAGGTCGCAACTCGCCCGCCACGTCCACGTCGTCGTCGTCGGCCAAAGCCGCCACCACCAACAACGCTCAACAAGCGACGAGACCCGCGAGCATATCGAGAGCATCGGCAGCCTCGGAGGACGAGATAAGTCGGGCGTCGCCGACCCCGAGCGAGGATCGTCAGTCTATCGCCAGCAGCACCGCGACCAGCAACAGCGCGAGCACTCGGCGCCGATCGAGTCTCAACGATTCCACGGCGCAGGCCAGCGGCTCGACGAGGCGCAACTCCATAGCCAGCGATCCCGCGGTGCTCGACGTCATGATCGAGTCGATCAAGTTTAACATCGCCAAGTCGATCGAGAGCAAAGTTTACGACAGTAAGGGCTTTTTGTTGAACGGAAAGAGTTTCGAACCGCCCAAAGCCGAGAGCAGCGATGATAAGACCAAAGGTGAGTTCGCCCACCCCCACGAGAGAAAAAAAGAAACTTAATGATAATTGGTGGAGGATTTTATAATTGTACTGTGTCGCGATGCGACCGACAAAAATCGTGAGATTCAATCGGATACAATGTATAACATATAGTCAGTCGCGCTCGATGCTGCAACGAGCAAGTGTTCCGGAACATCGACTGTGTGACCTCGTGAATCCGTGCGAAAATGATATTTTACGGGCGTCCTGCTGCTCTACGTAGTAGTAGAGTCCACGATGTGACTCTTTCGATACAGTTATCCTGCAGAGTATTTTTATGCATTTTTTTTCACTTTTGCGAAAAAAATTTTTAAGTTGAAACGTCCATTTATTTTTTATATTCATTTGCTTCATTATTTGTTTATTTTTAATTTTTGTCAACGAGTACAATATCATTTTGGAAAACACAATCACGCATCATTTGCACCGACCACACGTCTTGCTTGAATTAATTAATTTTCTCGAACACTAACTCAGTGTAAACCATATGGATTAATGCATTGAAAATTTTTTAACTCGACGTTATCGTATGCACACATTTCTTCACGTTGTTTCACACAGCATCTTGTCCGCTGAATGTGTTGTTGTGTTTTTTTTTTTCATTGTCGTGAAATTTTGCTAGTCTCTCTGTTTATTGAAATAAATTTTTAGCTGTGAAAAGATTGCCAAAGCTTTTGCTGTTATACAGCCATCGTTACTATGGCATACTATGAGTCAATGAGATGACATGATTCATTCCGTGCAAAAGGCTAGAGATTTCACGTAGCAGCATTATAAAACGTGAATCGTTTGTACAAACAATATTTTTTTCACGGAAAACGCCTGTTTTTTTTTTTTTATTGAATCTTTTACCACAGTAGCTTTCATTATGCTCGTTGGATGTTTTAGCAGTTAATATTTGATAGCACTGAAAATTACAAATTCCTTCGTTGTTAATTATAATCAAGCACGTAAAGATCGACAAATGAATTCATCTTAGTTTTTAATTATTATTTTTTGTTTTGCGCACGATGGAAGATTTCGAAGGTATAATGAAAGTTTGCAAATTTTGGTTTTCACTCTTGCTATAGTTTCATTCAACGCTGTAAAAAATTCTATTTAAAACTGAGAAATCTTCCTGAGCCAGTAAAAATCATTTTAATTTATGTTCACATATTCATAGCTTTTTGTTTTGAACGAATAATTAATTTAACTCAATTTCACCGTTTTGTCATCTCCGTTTGTGCCCCGTTCACCTCCTACTTAATTATTTGGCTGAAATCCTGCTTGTTGTGCTGCACCAAACTACTGCTACTACCACTACTACTACTGCTACTACCTGTTGCTGCACCACCATCACACATCACTACCAACTGACAACATCGACAAAAAAAATCTAAAAAAAAAAATAAAAATGAAAAATAAAAAAAAAACAACAAAAGGCTATTACCGAGTTGTTGGGGCAAAAAAATCAACGTCAAACTTATCATTAACGATTAAAGAGCCGAGTGGTGGATCGTCCAACAAAAAAGAGCCAGAACAACAGCAGCAGCCAGGCCCATCGTCGCTGATGGCCACCAATGCGAAGAAGTCGTCGTCGTCGTCGTCGTCGGCCGAGGACGGAACGACGATGAAGACGGCGGCGAGCGCCACGCCAAAACTCGCCGACACAGCCAAAGAAATAGAGAAATTAGTTATGGGCGAGAACGACAAAGCCGCGACGATAACAACGTCGCCCGGCACGAACTCCACAAATTCAGCGGACTACGATAGTAAGGCCACGACGACGATCACGGCGGCTACGAGTAGCGCGGACGAGCAGCAACTCGCCGCGGACTCGGCTGCCAAAACGCCGGAGAAGGAAAACGAGCCCGATATCGTAGCGGCTAACAAAGTCGAGGAGCCTGGTAAGTGGATGTCGGTTAATTATTTGATTTTTGTACCTCTTTCAAAGGCGACTCTTGATTTTAAAAGTCGAGTTTCGTAACTAAAAGAGGGAGAGCAAAGTAGATCGTAGACAGGTACCAAGTGCTGCAAATTATTGCACGTACTTAGTTTTTACTACGTTCACAGTAAATTAATTGCTTTCAATTTTTTTTGCCTATTAATTACGAGGATATTTTAAATTTATCAAATTTTATTTTAGCAGTGAACGCTCCAGTAGTCAAAGCAGAGCCCGAAGTCAAGAAAGTATCGCCCACGAGAAGATCCACGCGGGTCACGGCTCTCGAAGCGAGACGCTCTCTGAGCGCTTCGGACAGTCAAAGTTTGAACTCGTCTAGCGACGACGGCAAATCTAATCCCAAAGAATCAAGCCCGAGCAAATCAGTTGAAGCAACTGTAAAAAGTTCGGCAACGCCGATGGAGGTGACTATTCTCAAAAATTACACTCTGTTCAAACTAAAACATATTTAATATGGTAAATAAAACGTGTCTTTTCCTTGTCAGATCGACGAATCCACCGTTGGCAAGACTGCAGCACCGGCAGAAAAAAGCACAAAAGTGGCTACTCCACCACCAACGAAGACTGATACGGACAAACCCATTGAGACATTGAACAAGGTTGCTGATGCGTTGGAACAGCAGACTGTCAAGTCAGACGCAGATCAAAAGCCAGAGCCAATGGCTGTCGATGCGGAGGAGCACGACGAGAATGAATTGCGATTGGTGATCGACGAGTCAAAGGAGAATTCCGTGGTCGACGAATCGGAAACTACTGCTCAAGACTGTGATAAAATGGACTCTGTGACGGAAGCCTCTAATCTCGTTGATGTTCCCAAAGTTGAGCGTACCGAACAGAAAGCACCCACTCCTCGCGTGCTCAGAACTCGTGGTGACAAGAAAAAAGGCGATAAAATTGAAAAAGAAGAGAAAACAGAGCCAGAAAGTGCGGGGGTAGTTAATGAAAAGGTGGAAGTGAATGAAAAAGTGAATGAAGAAGCACCTGCTAAAATTACAGAAAACAACGATACTAAAACTGAGAGGTAAGAAATGTTTTTTTAATTCTTGGAACTATTGTTTACTATTCAAGTACCTATCTAGCGTATAAATAAACAGTACGTGTATATCTGTATCTTATGTTTGCGTACGTACTGATATTCATATTATGGGTTATTTTGATCGTCAAGCAGACTCTTACTGAATATAATTTATTATACAGAAAAAATTTGGCTGAGAAACACTCAATTAGAAACATTTTTAATTATGAAACTTGATTTATTTGAAAAAATTATTTATTTCTAAATGTTTATTCAGTAATTCAAACGACGAGCTGCAAAACGTCAGTAAGAGTGAGCCACCGTCCGAGCAGTCACTGAACGACGAATCAATAGTGTCTGTACCAGACTCCGAGAAGGTAAAAATAGAACCTGCAGATCTACCGGCGGACGAGCAGAAAGACACGCCGCCAGAAGTGCCAAGCAAGCGACGAATGAGAGAGGCTAAAAAACGGTTTCCCTTGAAACCTCCAGCGAAAGGTAAAAGAGGTCCTCGAGGAAGACGAGCCGAACGCAAAAAATCGAATACGCCCACGAAAGAAGAGTCAGCCCTGGATAATGAAGTAGCCAATATCAATAAATGTTCCAACTCCGAAGCAGAAAAGTCGGAACGACGAGGCAATTCTGCCGAAGTTGCTGACAATGGAACGGAAGTTTCTCCTGTGAATCGCAGTAAATCAGAAAACGATATTGGCACTGTGCATCGTTCTGCATCTTCCATTAGCAACGGCAAAGAATCGAGGGAATCGGAGGAATCGAGGGATTCAAAACTCATGTACGATCTAAATGAATCGTTTGAAGAAATCGTAGAGGCACCGGCGGAATTGGCCAAAAAAGATTTCATTCTCGGTCTGTTGGGACTGCAAGTGAGCGAAAATGCCGAAAACTCTAAAATACAGTCGGATGGAAGAAATTCGGAAGAGTACGCCAAAAGGATGGCAGAGCTAGAAAAACTCACACCACGTAAAAACAAAGCCAAGACCCACAGGGCTCCAATAAAAACAATTATCCGTGTGCCCACGAAAGATGGAGAGACCAGAAAGAGATCGAGGTCGCCAATTAAAATGGTTCTCAAACAGCAAGGCAAACAGGAAGGAGATAATCCAGATAATATTATGTACACTATTCAAAAAGAGGTAAGCACTTGTTATTATTACCCACTAATTGATTTGAGCATTCTCAAGTTGAAAGGTATTGGGTTAATTTTGATCGCGTTTTGTAAACATATATTCCTCTTGTTTCAGGCTGGAGCCAGTGGTCAAGAAGAAAGCAGCTCTGGTGCGAATCGAAAGATAAATACTAACCCTCGACACACACTTGGTAATCCTGGTTGCGGGCATAACAGCATTCTAAATCAGAACCTGTCCTTGCTCATATTGCTTTTATACAAATCACACTCTTACACGTAGTACACAATTTTGTGCGCATGCCATTTAATGATCGTTAAATGTTTTATTTAATTATGCTAATTTTAATGTTTCTCTGTCCATAATTGTGTACTATGTTTCTTTTTGCCATTAATGTTTTCAAAAAGCTTTTTTAAAAGTTGGTACCGTCCATACTCAGAACTATAAACAATCATACAGAAAGAAATGTTCGTTTACAGTTCGCGTATAGACGTGTAGAGTTCTGAGGTTTGGAGTTATAATGGTGCTTAAATTTGATTGAAGTTTTTGACACTAGCACTACTAATACATACGATTAATTGTTATTCTTCTCAATACTTGACTTGACGATATCTCAGTGATGTATAATTTTTATGATGCTCTCAATTTCGTACTTAATTATATTATTTTAAAATTTTACATCTAAGCACGTACTTTTCTAATATTGATATATTATTGGTTTAAAAGATTACACAGATAATAAGCTTACTTCTTGAATCAAATGAAATTTTCCGTGATACATTCTGTCATAGCTTTTTCACTCTCAAATATCCACAACTATGAATTATTATTCCATACCTCTTACTTGCTTCATCACTTCAAAACACAGCTAAACACTTTTTCAAATTAATTAGCACCATTTTAACATACTTATCATTTTTTACAGATGATGGAAGAGCAAATTCACCCATTAAGGATCGCCAATCTTTAGTCATTCCGGAGAAAGCATCTTCTTTCAGTATTCATCCAGGACAATTGTGCAAAGATGATTGTGCTTTCTGTCGAGGAAAATTCGGCTCGCTGGATACGCCTATGCATCTCGGTTCAGAAAAACTGGCCGAGGAGTGCAAAAAATTAAAAATCGAGCCACCCGTAGAGAAGGATTCTTGTCTGTGCGACGCTTGCTATAGGCACATCAACCGAAAGATTTCGGGCAAACCCGAGATCAGACCGAGAACTAAAGCTAAACAAATGACTGGCCGATGTATTGTCAAAGATTGTACAGTGGCAGGAAAAAATTCAATAAAACGACGTTATTTGACCAAACTCAGATCTCAACTTGGTAAAGATTGGGTAAGTAGATATTTTTCCGTGATTATTCAAGCTTAAATTTTCGATAACTATAAGAATATTTTATTGAAACTTATAGCTCCACAAAAAGTCCGATAATGCCTATCCTGCTACCGTTGGATTCTGTGATCAGCACTATCAAATTGCAAGCAGATACCTGCATTGCTCTCTCTGTGGAACAACACTCGTGAGAAACTACTCGTTCCTCTTTAGCCAGACACCTAAGAATGTCGAAGCAATGAACAATCGTTTCAAGAAGATGGGGATACTGTCTCAAATGGAAGTCAATGAATACATGTGTAACGAGTGCAATATCTTCTGTAAATGTCACGCAAAAAATAGTACAATCGAAGAAATGCGTGAAAACGATCGTAACTTCTGTTTGATGTACCGTAAAAAACTCATGACCCGCGCTGGCATGTCGGTTTCAACTAGCGAAAGCGAAACCGAAGATGATGCCGACGTCAAAGTTGACAATGAAAACAAACCCCGTACTAGTCGAAACGAGGTATCTGCGGAACAAGCATTACACATAACCAAAATTCAATTGGAAAATGAAGACATTTCTCGAGATACATCAGAAAAATCCACTCCAGAGCCACCGAAAGAGCCACCGTCGAAACCGGAACATAGCGCTGTTAACTCGAGGGTCATGAATATAGAAAATGCTATAGAGAAGTTGAAAAAACGCAAGGCCATCGATATGAATACCACTGAATTCGTTGCTCCGGAAAATCGACCGGGCAGTAGCAGCTATACAGATTTTGTCAGCGTTGATCGAGACGTATCTCTGACTCGTCTACCTAAGCGCCGTAAAACAATCAACAACGGTGGTCAAGCTTTCAGTCCTGACATAGCTCCAGTCGTGGAGAGGCTTGGGTCTAATCCGTCTATAAGCGTCCGTACGCTTTTCCCGGGCGAGGAAGAGATGAATCTGCATGTCAACGTTGACTTCAATAACGTGCTTCATACAACGCCAGAAGGATGGGAAAGAGTCTCGGCTATAATTCAGTGCGACAAAGAGACGAAAACGTTATGGGAATTCCTGCAAAGACCGTATGGCAATCTCAGCAGTTTCTTCAGACACTTGATTCTTTTAGAAAAGTATTACAGAACGGGAGATCTGTTTTTGGCACCAAATGCATCCAGAAATGCCATCAATTACTCGACTTCGGTGCAGAATCGTCTGATTTCCTTCGAGGGACCCGAAAAGATGGAAGCCCCCTCGGATACACCTCCGTTCGAACTCAACAACTCACACAGACTCAGCGGAGGTTGTATAATCGAGCAGAGACCGAGCCATTCCAACAGCGTCACCATAACACCCAGTTCTTACATATCTACGAATTCCACGGTCACGATCACACCGTCGACTTCGGCCGCGGGCAGCAGCTCCGCACCGATGCAACAAAGCCCGTCAGTCAGTATACATCCTTCGAATTCGACCGTCAGTATCACGCCGTCGAGCACACCCATGAGCTCGTCGACGGTCAACATCACACCCCCGACGTCGTCCATCACGATTACTCCGTCGAATTCGATAGCCAACGTGACGGCGCAACTGTCCCGTATGGATTCGTCGCCGCGCGTGGTGAAACTCACGTCGGGCGTGTCGATAATCAAAAAACCCCCGCCTAGTCTGCAGCGTCTCCAAATGAATAACGTTACCGCGACGGCCGTGAATGGCAGTGCCAAGCGAAAGGAGAGTCATCCTGTGCAGAAAAATACTGGCCAATCCGGAAAAATGATGCAGCTTACCGAGGACGATTATATGAGATATCAAACGCTCAAAAAGCAAAAGATTTCTATAACGTCTGCCAGTAAAAGCAGTGCTTCAGGTAAAAATCTTCGATTATTAAATTTAATTAAACTATACATCGTATTTTCTTAGCATTTTTTTACCTAATCAATTTTTCGTCTTACAGGAAGTTCACACTCGATGCTGCCAAAGAAAACCAAGTCCAACGTTAGCGTGTTGGAGTACGGAAAAGCTCCTCCACCAAATCAACTAACGTTCCAGCAACAGATTTTCAGACAACAAGAAATGTTAAATCAGAGACACCCCGGTGATTTTGAGCCGATAATTTGTGATATGCGAGCTTCGGCTAATGAGAATTCACCGACTCAAAATTTCCTCAATCTGAATCTGCCCAAGGCGATTCACGTGACGAAATCCACAGCGCCGATAGCGACTAGTACGCCGAGGGCCCATTTGCCGACGAAGTATCCGAAGAACCTTCTGATAATTCCACAGCCAATGGTGCAGCCACAAGATAAGTGATACCCGCGACGCAAGAGACGGCACGTGGCCGCCTCTAGTAGGGATTACTATTTCTACGGCAAACGGCGCAGTTGACGGTTAGCTGAATTATCGTCTTCGAAGGATAAACCAAAGTTATTCACGATTTCTGCTGGTAAATCGAGCAGAACAACTAAAAAACTTTAAGTGCCTAAAAACAACTGATGAACATGGAATGAGAGTGATAACCGCGCGATTATTGATTTCATGTTCGCTGATGTTTCTCCGATAACAGTCAGGTTTGTGTTTAAATTATTATTTCGTAAAAGAGGCATTGTTGTCTTATGTATCAACGTGCGTTCGCCTTCAAAAGGATACCTGATAAAGATATTAATTTGATCAGTTAGTAGTTATAAAAGAAAAGGTATAATAATTAGAAACCAAGTAGAGCTTTTCTTATAAAATAGCCTCAATACTGCCTTTTCTAAAGATATATAAAGTAAATACACAAATCAAATTTGAAATTGAGCGTAAAATATGGTGCAAGGTTCACATCCAAGCTGAAAAAAATACGTTTTTACAGATGTTAATATAAATAATTTATTCGTTTAACTAATCGTTATAATAAACATAGGTGACTGCGTTATCGCAGCAATATGTTAAGCACATATGCATGTACATATTAACTCCTAATTTAATCTCGTAAACTGTATGAACTACTTATGAAAAAATCATGGTAGAAAGAAAGTAAGGACTTTGTGAGTAGAAGACTATATACTTCTTTGTGATATGTGATTCAAATAAGAGTTGCAAGCCGAGAACTCTTGAAAAATGTCCAAGTGGTGCAAAAAATAATTGTAGCCCCCTTAATTGCTATAACTTTCAAATTTTATCAATTCGATAAGATTGTTCCTGGTGAGTTTGTAATTAAGTGCGTAATTATTTTGAATATATTATAAAGACTAAAATATTATTTTCTATGCAGAAATGCTCACAGACTTGCAAAGTTAAATGAAATATTTAGAATGACAAGTATGTAAAGGTATTGTTTCGACGATGTTTATATTTTTTCATTTGATTAAGAGAACTAATGAACAAAGCATGTGCAAGAAGGAAATAATAACACACATAAAAATAATAAAAAATATACATATAAATACATATACAAGATATTGTATAAACGATCGCGTTATTCGTATGTAACTAGAATCTTATAACTAATTATTATTACGTTAATAACAAATAATGTGCATAGTATAGCATTGTAAATAAATTTCAGTGTAGGTTTTAGTTTATGGCATGACGTGTGTAATTAAATATTAAATTCAGCGTTAGGTGAGTTTTGCGAATGATAGTTAATTGTAATTGTAATTGAATTTCAATCAATTACATGCAAAGACACGAAATTTTGATTGTAATTTTGATTGAATTCAAAAATTAGTAGTAGAAATTATCAAGCGATCGTATTCTAATTTTCTTCTAACTTTTGACTCATTAGAGGCATTATATTTATTTAAGTTACTGTGCGTTTTTATAAATATTTTTCTGATCATTGTAAATACTATGGAGAAAATCAACATCATTGAGGAATGTTATACAATTTATTTCTGGCTATCATCAATGTTTTATTTTTAATTGTCATTTTGCACAAAATTATGTGAGTTCATATTTTGTTTAGTAATTGTATATTTCGCTGTTTTTATATGTTTAAGAGAAGGGAGATAGGCGAATGATTGGTCGTAGAATAGTCATTGTTGATCATGTTTAATTATTATTATGGTATGAAAAAATTGTATTGGCTATATTCTATTATTCTATATAATTTAAAATCTTAAACTCTACTATTTACGTAATACACATGTTAATAATGATTATTACAAGTTTCAATATTAGCACGATTTCGAACATCATTTTCCTGTAAAATATTTTTACCACTACTTTTGAGAGAAAGAAATAATACTAACTGGCTGAATTTTAAATTTTTATCAATACTGCTATATAGTATATTTTTAAAGATCGAATTAACCTTCTATCATGTGTTATGAAGAAAATATTAAGCATTAAAAGTATAGATGTTATGACCGTTATTAACATACAGAATGTACCATTGACGTTGGAAAAAAATCATTCGAAAAGTGAAACGATAGTAAATAAAATTATGTTGAATTATAAATAGACGAAAAAGCATGTAAATTATCTATTTTAATAAGGATATTTTTGATATATCTATTATGAATTAATAAATCTATCTATATATTGATATTTATATAAATCTGGAAAATAAATATGTATACAAAATGAAAAATGTTATGAGAGTATTAAAAATTAAAAATTGAATCTTCTCTGTATACATGACGATTGGACATTTTTGTTTCAAAAGTGAGAGTCAACAGTCAAATTTCGCTTGCGACCATACACATATGGATTCATTCAATACTCGTGCTTCATTTAAATATGGTAGAGCACCTTACTCTTCATCGTTCAAAGACAAATTTATGTAGACTTTGAGAATCCTACTAAAATAGATCTACAATATTTAGAATTTTTGTATAATTATTGATTTATTAAATATTTGAAAACATATATGACTCTTATTTTATTTTGTTTGTTTTATTATTATCATCAGTCTATATGTTTTTCGTAATCTACTTTTAAATTTGTTTTTTGAATTACGTAATTTACAACCTCCACTCAAAAGTTTGCCTGTTGACTCTTGATATCATTGTGAATGTGTTCCATGCGTTTTTCGAATTGAATTTTCTTTGATTGAAAAGCAATTGGAAACTTTATTTACTGATTGATTGAGAAAGCATCTCTGAGAAATAGCTGAAACAAATTTCCGGATATGATAATTTATCCGAAATGTTGACATTCTGAAGCAATAAGCGTTGCGCGTAAAGTTGCTCATGAACATATGTCTACTAGTTTGACTAATGGAACATTTTTTTCGAATGCTCTGCGGAAAAAGTAGTAAGAATGCGTCACACAGTCTAAGATTATATATTGTAATATGCGTCAAAATATTCACTATACTCTGTACATAAAGATTATAAATTAAGTAAGTTAACCGGTTGCATTGGTTCAATTTAGGTTTAGAAACTGTAACGTGAGAAATGTTTAAATATGATAATTGCACCTTCCTAATCGTTGAAAAATGTCATTGGAAAATACTTATAATGTGAGATTAGTGCCTTTTTGATTGTGTCGGCAATTCAATTTGCTCTCTATATAATAGATAAGTACGTAAATATGCTGCTTTTTGTAATTAATAAAGTGATAATCTATGATCGTTTGAATGAACTGAAAATCTCGACACGAATATACAGTTTAATACGAACAAATAATACATAAATATATATGTAACGAAAAAAGTTATATTGGTGTTCAATTGACGTGTGTTCAGGAATTAGGTGAACCCATACCTATTTTTGTAGATGACACTGTTTTAGGTGGCAGGCAAATAAAAACTAGTTTTTGAATAATAAAAGAATTGAAAGTTATTATATTTTATAGACGAACGATATTTAAATTTTAAAATTCATTCCGTTAGTACTTAAATGTTATATAAATATTCGGAATAAATATTTTATCGAAATTGCTCTACTTTAATTTGTAACATAGATCTTAAGGTGTTCCATACGTGTGTCTTGACAAAAAAAAACGTATTAACTCAGAAAAATTATAAAAAAAAATCTCAGTACAAGCGATGGTTCAATGAACAAAAATCACAAAAGAAAAAATGAAAAAGTAATAAAAAAACTTTTGCTCGCCGTGTTTATCATGTGTGTGCATGTGTGTGTATATGAATGAATGAGACGAAATAGATCGAATTTAACTAACGCATTTCTTCAGCTTTTCCGCAGCTAGTTGGAATATATAAATATATAATTTTATGTCGATACTGCTACATTTATTTTGACTAATGTACTGTAAAAAAAAAAAAATGAACGGTATCGATTTGCGTTAAACACAATTTGTAATTTAATGGAAATAATAATATATATTTATCGTCTTGCTCGTTGATTCAGTTATTATGGGATTGTAATGCACCTCTCGCCGTGCAAGAGAAAAATTAGTTATTAATTAATTCTTCGAAATATCTTATTTGTATATATTCACAAAATTCAAGAGAAATAATAACGCTGAAAAAATGATACCAATTGGCACAGTCGATTCTTCATTGCATCCCTCGTCCTACCCTTATGTAGAAATAAATCATAAACTCGGGTAAATGTTTTGATAAAAATATTCATTATTTATTTATTCATTTATCTCAAATCAATTGTGAGTTCGCATCGTGATACAATAAAAAACAAATAAACAAATGCGACATGAAAAAAAAAAGAAGTAATCACAATTCAATTACAAATTATACGTACGTAGAAATTCATTCACAGCATTGCATAATTGATTTTATATTCACACTCTTCGATATCATTTAAATTATAAAAAAAAAAGATTCCTACGCGATAATACGATAATTAAAATCTAAGCACGTCGTTGCGAATAAAGGTAATATTAGAAATGTAAAATACTAACTTTCTATTATCGAGTGCTTACAGAGAGAGGAAAAAAGTAGAAGAAATATAGAGACTTTAATTTGCAGTAAATCTCACATACAGTCATGGTCGTTTTAACATTATACAATGATAATATATTGTGATAATAGGCTCGAAGCGATACGATATAACATAAAGAGAAAAACAGAGAAGAAGAGTAGGTAACGTAATAAAAAAATGATCGTGGCAATGAGTATGTAACAGAATGAATTAAATATATATAATAATCTATATACGCGCAAGTCAAAGGACGGAAAACTTACTGCAAAGTACAAAATAAAATAAAAAAAAACTTAAGTATCGTAGCATTCTATAATATATACAAGTTAGGAGAACACGTGTGTCGCGTCTTCGTCGCGGTGGAAGTAGTTTTCTACTTCCTCACGGAGAAGCCGTCCCCGGTGGGGTCGAGCAGCCAGGGATAATTGTTGGGGCACTCCATGCAGGTGAACAATCTCAGCGTCTCGCCGGGCAGCTCCCGGGTCGTCAATGGGCAGGCGTTGGGCAACGAGCAGAAGGGCTGTCCCTTCTCGTCGCACTTCTCTTTCCAGGCGTCGAAGTCGCGCAGAGATGGGATCTCGGTGGGCTCTTGCATCCATTTCAGGACCTGAGAGAGAAGAGTAAAAAGTATATAAGTAAATTACATGATGCACAGTGGGATTCGGGTGATAATAGTACATGAGATCTTACGAAAGATCTTACATTAGATCTTACACTCGATTATCATAATTCAGGTACATTGACACTAGTCAATGATGGGCATAAGATCCCTAATGTCGATAATTGTAAGTAAGATCTAATGCACTATTTTTCCCTTAGGTTAATGAACTCGGTGATAATTTCATACCTGAACCATGGTGACGAAGTACGTGTCGGTACGTCCCAGCATCTCCTCGATGAACTTGATCAGCTCCTCCTTGAACTCCTTCTTGCTCTTGAGCCAGGAGGCGTGGAAGTGCAGACCCAGCGGCGCCCTGTTGCTGTTCAAGTGGCGATAGAAGTTGTGCCTCAGCAGCCTGGCGAACTGATCGCCGGTCTGGATGTTGGAGCACGAGTCGACCATGTGGCAACCGGGCAGCGACTCGTCGAAGGTCGGGTCGTCCCTGCGATCCAGCTCGTTCATCACGATCTCCCAGACGGGATGCGACCGCGACGGGCAGTTGCCGCTGTTGCCGTTGCACTTGTGCGGCATGCGGAAGTACAGGGTGTACGGCCAGATGGGCACGCGTCCCAGCGAGGCCGTGATCGAGGCGTCGTAATTGAAGAACTGGTCGGCCATCATCTCGAACTGCTTGTTGCCGCCCACGCGCAGGTAGGGCGCGCGCACGCCGATGATCGAGCTGTCGGTGATGTTGGCGAAACGCTCGATGATCAGCCTAGCGCCGGCCATCTCCGCCAGCCAGTCGTCGTACGTGCCCTGGCTCCAGTAGTTCGGGTCGTCCTTGTGGGTGAGCGAGAACACGGAGATCTCGTGGCCGCGACGATGCAGATCCTGCACGGCCGAGTAATTGGTGTACTTGTGCGAGACGAAGAAGGTGCCGCGTATCTGGCAGCCGTTCGGATTGACGCGGTGGCCGTTGAAGATCTCGTCGTACAGGTCGATGTTGTCGATGTTGACGGCGCCGTTGAAGGTGATGGTGATCATCTGGGGCACCTGCTGGGGCTCGAGGCCGCCGGGGATGCGGGTGCCGTCCGCCGAGCAGTGACAGTCGGGCAGGATGCACTGGGTCGGGTCGCAGTCGGGCGCGCGATTCGGATCCGTCTCCACGGCTGTGCGCGAGGGCAATCGATAGTTATTTTTTCGAATTATGTATTTTTACCGGTTCGAAATCGTTACATCGAATTATTGATTGTTTCACGGGGATCCTATACCCAGGTAGAAATGCTCAATATTTGGGGGCCAACAAAAATGATTTTTGGCAATTTTTGAAAACTAGCCGTTCATAACTGTTTGAATTTGTGCCCTAACTTATACACCTATGTTTACTTTTCCACTTACAGATTTCGAAAAAAAGGTACTCGTGACATCTAGTGGCGAAGACTTGAAGCGGTAGAAAACTAGTCTAATTTTTTTTTTTTTTTGCGTTAGATCGCCTCAACCAAAGTCGAGCATTTCTACCAGGGCATACCAACGAGAAAATACATAGCGCGAGGGTGTAAAATTACGAATAAAAAAAAAGTACTCACTGCAGGCATTCTCGTCGGACTCGTCCTTGCAGTCGGGCTTGCCGTTGCAGAAGAGCTCCTTGTCGACGCACTCGCCGTTACCGCAGGACAGCTTGCCCTCCGGGCAGATGGGCTCGTCGGTCTTGAGGATCGGCAGCACCTTGCGCGGTCCTGGGAATTAATTTTTTAAGTTTTTTTTGCCATGCAACGAATACCGGGTAATAAATAGCTGCCTCTTGCGCGTTGTTGTCGTTGTTGTTGTTTTTGTTGTTGTTTTTTTTTTTTTTTTCAAAAATACGAGACCACCGTGTTTGCTCGTGCATCGAGTCAAATGTTACTATGATTATTTTTAAAGGGACAACATCGATGGACGAGCAAAACGCGAGCCGACGATGACGCAAGCAAATATAATTATTACTAATCGAAATTGTTCATTTTTATTATTATTATTTATCTATTTGTTCGAAGCTCTTCCTCCCCAGTGTGCACAATGATCACTTGATTTCGTTGTCTCGATCTCGTTCCTTAAGTAAAAATCTGTCACGTGAATTATACAGGTATACACATCGTAACGTCCGTCCGTCAGAGTCGTGACGCTTTTTATTCATTCATTTTATTTATTTATTTTTTTTTTTCGAAGAAATTTTGATTATTCGTAACATGTAATTTTTTTGCAGAGGACAATTTAAAAGAATCAATCGCGTGTACGAACGTGCAAAGAAAAGTTTCTTGTTGCGTTCCGGACAGAGAAAAGAGACACATATAAATAGGGTTCATAATTATTATTCACTTGTTATGGAGTGTGATGTAGAGAAAATAAAAGTGAATATGTAAGAAAAAATTTGTTACACACATAAATTGAAGTTTTCTTTTGGTAAGAGACGATAAAAAACACAAATATGACAAGAGAAAGAAATGAGCGCTAAACTCAGAGTGTAAAGTAAAAAACATCGAATAAATTACGATCGAGTCTCGAAAGTTAACACATAAATATTATGCATAGACAATAAACAAAAACAATTAGATTCCCCGACATCTTTTTCCCATTTACATCATGCTGATCGAAACTTGAAAATTAACAAAAGAGCAAAAAGGGAAATTTCTCATAATGAATCCACGATCGCGAGCGCGCGAGAGACAGATCGAGAAAACGAAAAAAAGAGCGAAACAAGAGCTCAGGGTTAGTCTACCACAGATGCATGTATAAAAAAATAGTGATTTAGCGATTAGTCACACATCTTACTTATACAAAGAAGTAAAAGGCGATGGTCGTTAGACTATTTACAGATATATACAATTTACACAGCAGATGTGTGGCGTGCATAAAATAGATATACAATACTGAAAGCGCATTCAAAAGTGTGTGCATGGAGAGAGACTATATAATTGTTTTTTTTACATCCAATCATTCACCAACGCCAAAAAAGGTATTAGGCCGGATAGTTCTGTGTTAGTTAGGTTTTTTTTACGATACAATAAAAGCCAAGCTGTACGCATTACGATCTCTGGTGTGATTATTATTATTGTTCTACTCACAACGACTCAACAAGAATATAAACTAAAAAAAACGCGTGTCGTATGTGTGGGCGGCGTGTGCAGTTCTTTTTTTTTTTTGAGTTTTTTTTTGTTGTTTTTTGCTTTTTGGTAATGCGTCACTTACTCTCGAGCTTGTCACAGTTGGTGACCTTGCCCTTCCAGTCGCAGGTCTGTTTGTCCAGATCAAAGGCCAATCCACTGGGACAGGTGATTTGCTTCAAGCCGGACCTTGTGCACCTGAGGGGGGATGATGCGCAGAATGAAATAAGAAAATTCATCTCGTGAGACAAAAAAAAAAAACAACAAAAAAGAAGCTAGACTAGACTAAAATCATTTTTCATCGTTCGTAAATAATATATATAATTTTGGTTCGTATCATGATCATCATCGTCGTCGGTGTTGTCCGCGTCGATTCGAAAAAAGTAAAAACAGTCAACGGCAAGAACGGCAATTTGGGCATCATTTTTTTTGTTTTAATCCAGCTTACTTTCGAGCTGCTCGCAGTTCTTAACGTTGGTCTTCCAGTCGCAGGTCTGTCGCTCGATGTCGAAAGCCAGGCCGGTTGGGCACTTGACCGACGCGAGTCTCACGACTCCGATCTCGGTCGCTTTGTCGCACCTATTATATATTTTTTCATTTATTTTCAGTTATTTGATTTTCATTCACATTCGACCACACGCGTATTGGGCATGCTATGCATGATATATTCGAGGGGGGGCACGTGACTAATTTTTCTGATCGAGGGTTCAACGAACTCGGATTGTTATACGGTTGGAATATATAATAAAGATTTCGATCGTGAGATACATCGACGAGTGCAGAATTGACTTTTACCGCGTGCGCGTTGGGTGTATGTAGAGACGCGCCTTTAAATCGCGAACCTCGAGGTACATACATAATGTACAAGCTCTGTCTATCCTTTCGCTTTATAAAAGCCGCGCGCGCGGAGAAATGACGAAAAGAGAGAGAAAAAAAACCCGTTTACGAGGCTGACCATACGCACTTACGCCGCCGCGCCGAGCGCCGTAAGATACGGCAATTGTGAAACCATATAATACGCGATATATATATATCCAACCGACAATAATGAATATCCGAACGCGCAAATTATATTCTAATATACGTGCGAGCTGCTGCTGCTGCGGCCTGAGAAAGTCTCGAACTTTCCTCCGTCGTAAAAATAAAAAATAAAAAATTAGAAAGGCCGATTTAAAGGGCCTATATATACGATGTGTTACTTCTTGTGTGACTGCTGCGCAAGCCAATAAAAATCTTTGTTTGTTTGTTTGTTTTTGTGTGTTTTTTACCTCACGACGTCGCGGCAGTCGCCGTCCGTGCTCAGCCTGAAGTACTCGTCGCCGGGCCTGTCCTGGCAGAGCTCCTCGGCGTTGGCGTCGAGGCCACCATCTTCTCCGTCGTCCTGAGCTCTCGCGCTCGCTACAATACAGAGAGAATGAAAAATTTTTTACATGTAAATATCGGACGTTTAAAAGCCAATTGCGAAATATGGAGCTGTCATAAAGTATATCGAAGCATACGATCTGGTTTCTCGAATTAGCCTTCGAAAACAGGCGCGTCTGGTTTTTCGTGTCTTCTCTCTCTCTTTACCCGGTTAACCTTGCTGACCCCACTCGCGTGTGTGGGTGTTGGACACATAAAGGATATATCGAGGCAAAAAAAAAGGAGCTCAATTTCTCTCTTTCGGGTGCAGCACCCAACACAATATATTACAAAGTTCTCCGCGCACAGTCGCGAGCTGTCAGCCAAAGGAGGGGGTCAGCGAACTCGCGAACGTAGAGAAAGTCTCGCTCTGGAGCAATAGAGACACAGCATATGTATATATACATAAAGTATATATATATACACTCCGAAAGCCGCGCGCGACAAACGAGCGAAGAAAAGTTGAAAAATAAAGAGGCACATAATAGCCGGCGAAAGCGACGCGCGATCGTGCGCGATTTTTGCGCGATCGCGCGTGTCGTAACGCTGAAAAAAAGGACGACGATGATGATTCCTCGAACATCCAATCGAGATCGCCCCGTATCGCGATCGATACTTGCGGGGTTACTCAATGATACGAAAAACACACAGAGAACTCGTTACGCACGGATTTTGTCGCACGATCGCGTCGCGATCGATACCGGTTTTTTTTTGTCCGTACGTTTAAAAGGACACAATTTCTGTCACCAAGAGAGAGAGAGAGAGAGAGAAAGAAAACTTAGGCATTACGTACGGATATTTTCTCACGTTTATACATGCACATTATGTAAGCTTCGTCGTCGTCGTCGCGATCCGCAGAATTGAAATTTCATCGCGCAACAACAAACTCGAGAGTGTGGTTTTTCGGCTACACCGTATCACAGTATTATATATGGGCAAACTGTTACAGCTGCTGTAGTGGTAGTCAGTCGGTCGTCGTTGTTATGCAAAATATTATTTCACTTGCGAGAGAGATATAGCTATAGACACACAGACACTTATGACACGACGACGCCGCGCGACTATTATGCAAAAATAAAATCGGTAATTTAACGTAAACGCGCGTAATACGTTTGTAATAGACGCATAACGATCGCCTCGCGCGCGGGATATACCGGTTTTTCTCTTACCGAGTCGATTTTTCGTGAATTATCGAAGCTAACGAAACAGGCACACGGCGTTAAAAGTAATAATAATAATAATTTTGAGAAAATGTCTCTTACCGGCAACGAGCAGCAGGCAGGTAAAGCCAAGAAGCAGATACTTGAGTTTCCTCGGCGACAACATGATCGTCGTCGGACAGTTGCTGTCGAGCGTCTGAGACAAGCCGCGCCCTCTCGTACCCTCTATATGCTGGCGGCCTACAACCACCACCACCACCACCACCGCCACCTCTGCTGCTGCGTCCACCTTAAACTAGGCCCCTACTACTATTTTTTTTCGCACAGCAGCATTGGCAGCACAAAAGTATATACATTGGCCTTTTACTTTCACTTCTTTGGCAGAGCTTGGATATACTACATACGTATAATATCGTTGATATTATATATGTGGGCCCCTCTCTCCTGCTGCGCTACGGTCATAAAATCGGCGGCTGTCGCCGTGCCGCCGCCGCCACCACCGTACGCTGCTGCCATCTGCTGCGATGCTGCGATGATTTTTTTGCGCGCCTTCTTCCCTTTTTTTCGCGTATATATCAGCTGATTTTGCGCAGCTCGGCAGAGATCGAGTACACATTATACAGATCGAGAGACTGTGTGTCAGTGGTCGACAGAGAGAGAGAAACGAAGTTTCGCTTGACCTACTGAATATTATTATATTACATTACTTATACGGTCGAAAATAGCAGATATGTAATTGTAAATACTCGAGACTTTCCTAAAAACGTTAATGTACGTAATTATATTTTTGACTTTACGCGTAAAACTGCTCTTAACCTAAATGCGGCTCTTTACTCAATGTAATGTATGAAAAAAATAGCACTTAAGATCTAGACGTTGCGAGAGTAAAAGATCGGCACCCCCCCGATGCCGATGCGCTTAGCTAGGCCAAATATTTCGATGACGATGATCCTTTTGTCAACGGCGCGTATTATATTTAAACGATCGGTTGACTCATTTCCCTCCTTCTCCAACGAAGTTGCAATTTTATGTATTCTTTATTTCTCTCTCCTCCTATGGACAAAGTAATGGCTATGATGTGTGTAAATAAAGGCGATCTGGCAGCAGCCGGCAAAACAAGAAAAATACGACAACCAACCGTCGTCGTCGCCGATTGATTCTTGCGCAAGTATAATATAAAAAGAGTTGTACAAAGTGAGGCCCCGTAAGAGAGCGTAATATCTCTCGCGCGTATACATGCATGTATGTATATATATGCACCTATTGCAGCTGCAGAGCTACATAGCTGTAACTCGTATTATATCTGGCACGTATACGCATTATCTATCTCGGCTCTCTCATTTAACGTCGTCATAACGTTTTGCCAGTTTTGTCTCGAAGTCTGTTTTTACTATAGTTATGACGCGAGGGGCAACTCTTCGCACGGCAGTGAGAGACGACTATCGATATTTTTTCGAAGGAAGTTCAAAAGCTTCGGAAAGTGATCGCTCGAATGACGATCGTTTCCCAAAATTGAGACTATTTTTCCAGCGCTTTGAATTACGATAATACCAGCCTTCGTGTCTTCACCGCTAGATGTCGAGGTGCTGCTTATCCGCGAATCTGCGAGCTGCAAAGTAAAAATCACTGTGTAAGTCACCTCGCTGTCTTGCCTTCGACCATCGTGAAAGTAGGTAAAAACAGGTATAAAAACTCGATCTCAATTGAAGCCAGTATTCACCGCTAGATGGCGAGGTACCTTCGTACGTAAATCTGCAAGTGTCTAAGTCAAAGTAATTGTATAAGTCGTATGCGTTCGAGCTTGTTTATGAAATATGTACTTCTATATTCCGAAAATTTATAGCTACAAAATGTTCAGCATTTCTACCTGCGTTTAAACGGCTGAAGTCTATACTTTACCTCAAAATATAATAAAAGACGAACTGTCACCAATCGAAACTGAAGAGTCCAATTTCCGTGTGTGTACTTGCGCGCAAAATTGTGCGCTTATAAGGGTAAGCCGCTGCCGCTGCTGCTTGGGTGCGTGCGTCGCGCGAGTCCTTGACGAGGTTGCGTTGCGTGTATAGGTTAAAAAAAGTGCAGTTTTCGCTTGGTCATATATAAAAACAGCTCTCGCGTATGCGTACATTTCAAATAATATCGCGGGGCTACATTATATACACTTGAAATCCTCGAACCAGTTTTTTGCGCGCGTGGCAAAATAGTTTATAATAAACGAACCAGTCGAATACCGGAAAGTCGCGCGAAGTTTATGGAATTCATCCTTTTTTTTGTTGTTGGTGTTATTATTCGTTGCGTGCCTGTAAAAAGGAAGGAAAAAAGTGTCGTAATGAAAATATACGCGTCGCCGCATGATTCACACGCGAATCGCGCGTTGGGACTCTATTATAATATTGTAATATAGCCTGTGTGATGATGCTGTCAGCGAGAACGTTGACTTTTCATCTCGAATATCGATTAACTTTAGAATTCCATTAGTCGTGTGTTGTGTGTGTGTGTTATTGCTAAACGATTTGTCGCATTAGGCTTTACGGAGAGATAGAGGAAAGACTCATCATCCGCACGGGTTTTTCGAGGATTTACCAAAACCCCTCGAAAAAAAGATGAAAAAAAAATGAGAGAGGTTGAGTTACGAAAGATGCAAAGAGCTAATTATATTATACGTATACAAGCATACACAGACTGTTTAAAGCTGTATATATGTAAATAAGGTCTATTGATCCTTCTTCGCTCGTTTCGACGATGAATGAATAAAAAAAAGACGGACGCGCGCTTAAGAAGACAATGGGCGTACACGCGTTGTGAATGACACTTTACGAGCGCATGATTTACAAAAAAGTGAAGAAACGTCGCATTTTATTAGGAATACCCCCGCATGACGACGAAATGTTTATGCATACATATGCTAAAAAAATTTCAAAGTTGTAAGCCAGCCAACTGCATTTCTCTGCGTGCGTGTGTGTACGTTATTATATTTTGTAACCGATCTATCCGATACTCGCGCGTAACATAATAATATAAATATAATACATATCGAGCTATTATTCTTACATCGAAAACGTTTTTACCACGTGTTCGCGGGCTGCTGGTATAATGATCTACAACGTACGCAGTACGTTTTTCGACGTTGCGAAACGTTTCGCGGCTCGCGCGTCTCGCGATCGCCGATTCATAGCCACGCACATTCTTCGATCGAATCGATCGATCGGCGGCGGCTCGGATCGAGAGAACATATCGTGTATTCCTCGCACACAGGTGTGAAACGCGTGAAACGAATGCAGAAAACAAAACCCATAAATACGTGTGGGCTTCTTTCTTTTTCTTTCTTTTTTTTTTTTTATTATAACCCGAGGGGGGCGAGTGTATAAACGCGCCTGCCGTGTGTTTCTTTTCACCTTGACCGGGGGGACCGGGTCATTGTCCAGTTCTCTCTCTCTCTCTCTCCGACGTATGCTGCTGCTGCTGCTGCTGCTGCTGCGCGGTCGCCCGCGAGAGAGTATTTTAAAATAAATTATCACGTCCTTTACGCTCGTTATTTTTTTTTTCATTCCGCTGCTGATTACCTTCGGCGCCTCTATATTTGACGGGTTCCTTTTATTTATTTCACGCTCGTGCCCGGTACATGCCACCGCGAAGTTTTTCCTGTTTTTTTTGGTACTTTTTTTTTGTAAAAAAGAGCTGGGCCTTTTAAAAGCCTCCGGGCGTTGAGACGATATGTCATTTGTATTCGAAACCGAAATCTATATCCTCGCGTTCTTTGGACCCCCAAAAGTAAAGTATGCAGGTATATAAACGTCGGGGTTTTTCTCGGCCTGACACACACACGCACAAAAAAAAGAGTAAAGGATATCTCATTATCATAAATTTATACATCGAGCTGTATATATGACACGCACGCACACAAGGATCTCGTCAATTTTTTTTTTTTTTTTTTAAAGTAGCTTACATACGCGTATTTTATAATATATAGTCCCCCGCGGCGAAAGGAAGTTTACCTTCGCGCGATCGTGTGTCGCGCACGTGATATATATTTTATATTTATATTTATAAAGTCGTGCACACGATATTGTGCGTGTGTGTGCGCATTTTGTACCCTGTTACAAAGCTGCAAGAGATCGGCTCGAGACACCGATCAATTTAAATCGTGCATCTTTACTTCCTGAAAATTTTACGTTCGTCCTTTTTTTACACGTGTGTTGTTTCTTTGTGCGACGCGTGACGTACACAGACGCGACAGCATTAAAAACCGTATTAACGATCGACGCGGCGCTGTTTACTCGAATTCTCGCTTCTTGTTGTTTTCGTCTTCTCTCTCTGGGTGCGAGACTTGAGAAATATTATACGATATACATATTATATTCGTATCGAAAAATCCTCGAGGCGCGCAACACGGTAGCCAGCAGCGGCGGCGGCTCGTTTAATAAAGACTTTAATACATAAAACACGGTTCTCTGTATCTCGCTAGACTACTGGCATTACGTCGACGTATACGTAAAAGCCGCTCGCGCGAGAGAACTCGATACGCATAGCCGCAACTTCGCGCTCGGCCGTATGTAACGAATGCAATTTTCAGCCTATATATACATTTACTTGGCTGCAGTGTTACGCGGCTGCCAATGGCCTTTTCGTTATTAATAATAATTTTTGTGAGCCTAATTGTATGGGTGTGACAAATGTATATTAAGGCTCCGATAATAATAAATTTGTATACGCGCGAGCGCGTGGCTACCGGAAATTATTTTCTCCTTCAAATTTATAATCGATTCTCTTTTGCGCGCGGGGCGAAATTCAACGTTCGATTAGCAAACTTTTCCCGCGAGTCTTGTACGAGAGAGAGATCCGCGTCGATAAGAAAAGACGCCTGTGTGTATTATATATAGACGCGCATCGACGCGATTGAACTTTTCACCTATGTACTCATTGTGTGTGTGTATACGTTACATAATAGGCTGGTGAGCAAGAGAAAAATTTTTTTCATTGAAAGACAAAACTTTGCACTTTGCGTTGGCTAATTTCCAAACGAAGTGTATATCGCAGGTGAAAATATTAAAAAAAAAAAAAAAAACAATATTATTCAGTCGTTTCGACATTTGAATTATTTGCTTGAGAGACGACGACGAGCGAGCAAGGCAAATATTCGAGGCTAATCGAGTCGTAATTTTTATTTACTTATAATACATATGTAGCCGATTATTATGTATACACCATGGACCTACTTTTCACGCGCGGCAGCGGCGGCTACTCGATTCAACTCTGTGTTTCTTCGAGCGCAATATATGAAAAATTCGTTAAACGCGTCGCATCGCTGATAAGCAACGGGTTTCACTCGTACACACGTGTGTCTGTATGTAAGAGAGCGAGAGTGAATACACATTTTGAGATTATTTCCATTTAGGAGCCATAAATATTGCGAATGGTACTTCTTTTATTTTCATTTAAATAAATGCGCGACCAAAAGTATTTATGCCGTGCTGCGTATACTGCTCTCTGTGGTTTTTTATTATGTGAACTAAATATACAGTTACGACGCGTACATACATTATACCCGAGAATTCTATTTTTACGCTCTTTTTTTTTCACCATCTTCTTCCTCTTCTTCTTTTTTTTACGGTAGGAATTTCGAAAAAAATTTCATTTAAACAGTTGCGATTGCAAAACTTTATCTCAATAACTTATACACCGTGACCGGTGTTGTCCGTATCGTATACACGTACACCGATGCTTTTGGCCACCGATCTTCCTCTTTTTTTATTTATTAAAAATTTTAAATCAACAATGACACAGGGAATTGAGAAATACCCGTATAAATCCGAATTTTATTACAAAAAACAAAAAAAAATTAAAATCTCCGTTAAAATTCATCGTTTTTATCCCTGTACAAGAAGATTTATACGAGTAAAATATTTTTAGATACATTTTTGAAATATCTCTCGCGACCATCGCGTCGCATTACCATTGCGGGGCATAAAATTCGGCCTTAATCCTTGCTCGATGATATTTTTTTTTTTTTGTAAAACTTTGGGCATATGCTGCTGGTACTGGTGGCGAATCGAAAGTGAATCTTGTGCATGTACATACATGTAAGTACGCGTGACCTTGTGCAGAGGCTTTCACCCTCGTGCCCTCGAAAAGTCTCGCTCTGCACGCGAGATGCAGCTCCTTTTTTTTCCTTCTTCTTCAAAACGTCTGTGTATAATTCACAAGCATGAGCTACGTCATGTAACACACGACGAGGAGACTTTCGAAAATCATGATGTCGTTGCTGATGCTGCTACAGAGTGCAGAACGTATACGTACAATAATATTTCCGAGTCCAGCTGTGCGCGAGTGAGTGACATTTTTCGAATTAATTCGCGGTTTTTTGCATCTCGGCAGACGGCACTGCACACGCATATATAACGTAATCGCGAGCACGAGTGAAAGTCGCGAGATACGAGTCGAGTTTTTTTTTCTTTTTCTTTTTCTTTTTTTTTTCAAAAATATTAATAATATCGCGAGACCGAACGAGAGCGAGAGAGACTTATCGTGCACCATCGTCGTGGCAAGGTCGGCCAAGCACGTGCGTGGCGATGCGCAATCGATGTATAAGTTTCGTAAAAAGAAAAAAAAAGCAAAGTATCGTCGAACAAGTGGAATAAATGAAAACAACGTCGTCGTATATCGTCGTCTAGCTTTATGTTAAAAAAACAATCAGTCAAAATTCTTACTAGTTGTCTATGTACATTTTACATAAAAAATAAAATAATTATAATAATAGTTCAATTTTTACACAATAAAGCGCGTCACAAACATACATAAAAAAAGTCATTACACGATCAAGCCGCCGCTGCGGCCGGCATCATATGCATCACTTGATGATCCTCCTTGATCATGTCCGCGGCCTTCTCGGCGATCATGTAGACCGCCGCGTTTATACTCGCCCTCACTATGGTCGGCATCACCGACGCGTCCACCACCCTCAAGCCCGGGACCCGGTGCACCCTCAGTCTCGAGTCCACCACGCTGTCTCGCGAGTCGCGGCCCATTCGACAAGTGCCCACCGGATGATAGATCGGGAACGTCGAGTTCTTGGCGAGGCAGTCCAGAAATTCGGGCGTGTCGATGCTGTGTTGGGGGCACAAAGCACCCGGCAGGATACGGAAATCCGCGGCGCGGAAGGCCTTGGTGTCGGCGACTTTGCGGGCGATCTTGACGCCCTCGAGCAGCGTCGCCAGATCGTCCGGATGGCTGAGACTGTTGTGCGTGATGACGGGCGGGGCTATCCAGGGATCTCGCGATTCCAGCCGTACGCTACCGCGACTCTTGGGCTTGAGCAGCGCCACGAACTGGCCGATCTCGTTGTAGTACGAGATCGTGCTGGCGGCAAAGGCCTCGGCGCAGGGCACATCGGCGCCCACCTGGCCGGCGAAGCCTATCTGAACGTCCGGCGCCCCGGTCACGTTGGTCAGCGGCGTCTGATGAAACGAGAGGGTCGACTCCAATCCCAGTCCCGCCAGGGGTCCCTCCCTCATCTGCATCCAGTAGACGAGGTCGTTGTGCACGCCTCGCATGCTGCGGGGCCTCTGCCGGCTCGGATCGGCGATCCGGTACTTGTACGGCAGCAGCGCCACGTGATCGTGAAAGTTCTCGCCGACCTGGGGCAGGTGGCGCATCACCGGTATCTTGGCGTCGTGCAGATGCACCCTCGGCCCGATACCCGACAGCATCAGCAGCTTGGGCGACTCGTAGGTGCCCGCCGAGAGGATGACCTCGCGCTTGGCCATCGCGTGGTACACCTTGTGCGCGACCTCGTCCGAGTACTCGACGCCGATGGCTCGACAGTTGGCCTGCTGATCGATGATGACGCGGCGCACCGTGCATCGCGTGCGCACGTGCAGGTTGGGACGCTCGGCGCGGATCGGTCGGATGAAGGCGCCGTTGCTGCTGAGCCGGGTGCCGTGGATCGCGGTGTGCTGGATGCGACCCGCACCGAGCTGCTCGGCGCCGTTGTAGTCGATCTCGCGCAGGCCGAGCTCCTTCCAGGCGTCGAGGAGCACTCGGGTGTTGGGGTCGTCGTGGGGCAGCTTCTCGATCTTGAGGTAGCCGCCGGTGCCGCGATACCGGGGGCCGCTCTCCTTCAGGATCTTGACAATTTTCGCGCGCAATTAGTCAAAGTAAATACCACGAGTAGAAAAATCTAATTACCTCCGCATCCCTGAGATCCTCGGACTTTTTGAAGTACGGCAGCACGTCCTCGTACGACCAGCCCTCGTTGCCCATCTCGGCCCACTCGTCGTAATCCGCCTTGTTGCCGCGCGCGTAGATCATGTCGTTGATGGTGCTGGTGCCGCCCAGCACTTTGCCCCGGGGCAGATTGCACGCCCTGCCGGGCATCGCCTGGCACACCCTCCTCTCGGGCGCCGACTGGTACGCGTAGTCGATGCTGCTTTTGCGCAGTATCGGCCAGAAGCCGGGCACCTTGGCGACGTTGGGCTCCTCCTCGCCGGCCTCGAGCAGTAAAATACGCCAGTCGCTGATCTCCGAGAGTCGATTGGCCAGGACGCAGCCGGCGCTACCGCCGCCGACGATGATGAAGTCGTAGAAGTGTGACTGTGGCTGCTGCTGCTGATCGATCGGCGGCGACTGGGCCGCCGGCGTGAAGAGCGAGTCCGTGCTGAGGCCCATGTTGGCCATGACGAACGTGAGGAACGTCATCGTCTGGGCGGGACAGCTGCCCGCGTACGGTGCCGGGTGCCACATTTTATTTACTTACTTATTATTGTTATACGTACGCACAATTATTTTATTTTTTTTTTTTAAATTTTAACGATGGTCGAGGGCCGAGAAGATACGACGAGGTACGTTAGGTCGGGCGCCGGGCACACACTACTAAGTACGTCTCTAACGGCTGGCAGTTTTAGGCGCGCGAAAATTATTATTGTTACAATTATATCGTTGTGTTTACGTACAATAATACCGCCTTGATGAATTTCAGGCACACAGAACGTACACAGAAAACTTAGAAGAAGAAGAGAGGATAACGTATACGTCGTTGTTGCTCGACTTTGCTGTTCCCGCATTATTTTTCGAGGCAAACAAACACACAGACGGACAGAGAGACACACACACGAGGTAATATATACAATAAACAAATGTGATATATTGGCTCGCGCGCGCGCCTGCGACAGATTCGCGCGAGATTATTAAATCATATTAATAATAATAATAAATTGCTGTGACGTTGGCATTATTATATCGAGCTCGTCGACCTGTCGAGCAAGACGACGATGATAAATTTATTGACATTATTGTAAAATACGTGCTCTAGAAATGCGCGTTGTTTATTTAAAACCATATATATATAATACCGCGAGTTCGTTGACCTCCGGTACACCGCGGCAAACGTTCGCGCGTGTATCATTGTAATAACACCGCACGTAATAAGAGAGATTTTCGTAATTACTTTTTTTTCTTTTGATTCCTTCCTTTTTTTGGAAATTTTTCGAGAATTCGATGTACGAGTTATACGATCTCGTCGCAGCATATCGTAATCGTTCGAAAATGTGTAACGAAGTTATGCAGGTATACGCGCATTTGTAACACCCACTTCGGGGGATCTCTATATGTCGCGCGGAAAATCGACGAATAACAAAGAAAACTGCATTTATGTGATTATAACATAACACAAGGCGCCGCCGCAGTGGTTTTACCAAGAGAGAGAGAAATTAATGAACGATGACTCGAGCTCGGCTATGCAGACGAAGAAGAAAAAACCTGTATACGCCTTGTATCACTGTATAAAATGCACACCGCAGAGCAGCGCATATTTCGCAATTGCATTTTATGTACATATACGACGCTGGTGCATTGCCGCATCAATTGTGTCATCGCGTATACACACATACGTACGCGTCACGTAATAATATAATCTCGACGATCGCTGCGCAGGAGTGATTCCTTTTTCGATTGTCTGAGTGTCTCTCTCGCACTCTTTGACAATGACGAGTGAGAGTCCAGTCTCGGACGATTTTCACCCATTGTCCGCGTGGGCGAGTTAACGATAACGATACGGGTGTGGTGGCTGGCGGTGTACGCCATAATGGAAAACCTCGAAAAATTTCTCAAATCAGCGAGGCAGAATTTTTTTTCATTTTTAATTATATGTGAACAAGTGCCTGGCTGCTATTCGAGTGGTTGATTTACGAGGGTTCCCCCCGCCATTATGTATACGACTCGTTGAATAAACATCGAGGTTACAAAAAGGGACACGGCACGAATTTACGCGCGATTAATTGCCGCTCAATTAACCGACACGTTATAATTCAATATTTACAGAGCGAATCTCCCTCTTAGCGATAAAATTTCGCAAATGTTTGAAATATTACATAAGCTACATGTACGGCCAAAAATTGCTTAATAAACCTCTTTTTCTTTCTTGTTCTCTCTGCCCCTTTTTGCGAATGATTAATTTTCGATGCAAAAAAAGTATCCACGCGTTTTATATACTACTACTCTTCGAAGCTCTCTCGCAATTCGCAAATCGACTGTATATACGTAGTATTTAATGCGTGGTGTGCGTGCGTTATATACCGTGTGCAGGAGTGTCCCAGGCAGCAATGATGCTGCTGCATTCATGTGTGTTTATAAGCAATTTCGCAATGACATTACAGCCACCGCCGCCACGTCTCTTTCTTTTGTCCTCGTCATCTCCGATCGTCGTCGTGTACATGTGATATATCCTAATTTACATTCCACGCCGTTTCATTGTCTCTGTCTGTGTCTCTGCTGTGCGAGCGCAGCCGCATGATCAATCTCGATTCTCTGTGTACATGTGCGTGTGTATGTCCCTTTTTCCGGCATTGCGTAAATCATATTAATGTATTACAAAAGCTGCACAGGGGGGAGAGACAGAGAGACAATTGAGCGGAGAGTCTCAAGCTGCGATTTAGTGGTTTTGAACAGATATCGACCATCGTCATCTGTCTGTCCGATGATAATTTCACTTTTAGGTCGGAAGAGCTCTTGATGTACGTTCGATTCTTTGTCGAAATCGAATGGCTGAGAAAAATGGTTGTTTTTGATTTCATACGTGTCCTCGGCAATCGTCTTTTTTCCCGAGTCCCGAAGCTGGCGTTTTTCTCAAATTCATTCTAGGTTTTTTATACTAAAAATTGGCCAAACTGTTACAGAAAAGAATACAAAAAAAGTCTGAGATCTTTTTGGAGCTTTTTGCTATAAAGAGAAGCATATAAGTCAAAATTGAATCAAACTTGATCTAAACTTTCATCACTAAAAAATGTACAGGTTTTACTTAAAAATTTGATTAATTTTTGGTTGTTTTCCGCTATTATGAATTTTTATCGACGCTTTCAATGCCTTTTGCATTATACATGATTTGATTAGATTTTGACTTTTATGTTTCTCTTTGAAGTGTCAAGTATTTTTTTCATGTTTTAAGAGTTTACAGTATAAACTCTGTGGCTTTATCTAAAATCATTCCAGCTCGAACCATTTGAATATTATCAATATAAAAAAAATTCAAACTTCCAACTCTGAAAAAGAATGATAAGCGACCCCGAACATTCTAATAAAAGTTGGGAACATATCCTATTGTAGAAATGCTCGAAATTAATAAAAAGACTTCATGACCGAATATTGAATAAAAAAACATATATTACAATATAACTTTATTTGTAGCATTTTCTAAAATTTGTATTTTTTGAAAAAAAACTACCATGTTCACGTTCACGTTCCAATCATCAGGTTGTTTCCTACAAAATTATTACATGCACCTGGATTATTTCGATATAGTAATATTTCGGACAATATCTAAGATACGTACCTCCTTCAAAATAGTGAGTCCACATTTCTACTTCCTTGGGCAAGGACTGTATTTTGGTATTTTAGGTTTTGGGTTGCTGTTTTGATAATATGATCCCACACATTGTCCATGGATTTCAGCGACGAAAATCAAAGCGACAAAAGTCAAAAGTAAGAACTTCATCTTCGTTTGGGTTGAAATATTCTCGCGCTGAGAATCGATCTGCTGCACTTGTACATGCTTCGCCGTTGCGCGGTTATGCTCGGTTTTTAATTAAAATTTTTCTCCTCTTTATCAATCGATTTTATTGCGAGATCATAAATATTGATTAGCGCTGACCATGTCGTTAACTTGAAATAAATCATCAAATCAATTATTATCACAAGTATCTTACCTTCTTTCATCGCTTTAAAAAAAACTGTGTTTTATTTAACTATAAAATCAAAATTAAATTTTATATGACGAGAAAACAATGCGTGTGGTAAGACAGGTTTTAATGAAACATAATTTATGGTGAAAAAAATGTTGTATTCATTTTTAAAAACTGTTATACAGGTAACCAAAAAGTCAACCCACAAGTTAAACAAACGACCATTTAAATTTTTATAAAATAATTTATTACAAATTGGCTTGTTTTTATCGATTTTGTTGTTACAATTATTTAAAAAATATTAAGCTCATTTTAATTATTTCAAAAATTAATAATAACACTTCAAGTCTTCACCACTAGATGGCGAGTACCTTTTCTTTTGTAAATCTGCAAGTGGTGAAGTAAACATAGTTGTATAAAACAGGACACGGGTTCAATACTAGTAGATGAAACATTTCTTATTAGGTTATTCCATTTAGTATTCCATATTTAATTAGAAAATTAAAATAGCTATTGGAAAAGCGTTCAAATGGTAAATAACAAAAATTTTACACTTCAAAAGTGCTTATTTAAAAGCAAATAAACTGGGAGCATTATATAGCCATAAAATTCTAATGTCCCTTATTTGTTTCCAAAAAAACTTTTAGGCTGACCATAAATTAGCCACGGGGCATGCACGACATCAAAGGACAACAAATTTTTCGTGCCATCAGAAAAAACAATTTTTGCGTTCGTACGTCGCATATATTATACACACGCGGGCGACAAATCACCGCAGCTCTGATTTTCACCGCGACACACATGGATTTCCCTTTTGCGCGCGTGCACATACGTGTTTTATATATAGAAAATTCGCGACGCGTTGGCAATAATAAATCAAAGCTCTTTTACCTGCACACACACACGGCATATGGCGCAGCTGTAAAGACTCTATATATACACATACAAGCCGACGAGGAATTTCTCATAAAACTCGTATTTATATTAATTAAATATGTATTGGTATATGTGCCATTGGACTCTCGATCTCGGGCAAAGATTTTATAAATAATTGACACTTTCAGCGATTGGCGAAACTAGTGCAGCATATCTCATATATGTAAATCTCCGTATAGTCAGGCCTAAGTAGCTCCAAGAGTAAAAGTTTCGCGCACGGCGGTGTGTGCGTGTGTACTTGTCCAGTCGGACACTGGGTCAATCATCGGCTTTATTTTTGAACTATACATATATACTTTACAAAACGAGCTTGTGGACAGCCGAAGAAGATGTACATTTGCAAATTTTCGTCGTTACGGGGAAAAAAAGAAAGTGGATCTTCGATGCTTCATTTTATTTTTTTTTCAGCTTTTTCTCATTTTTCCTCGTCTTCTTTTTTTATTTATTTTGTGTATATCGAGAGTCATTAGTGCGAAAGCACTTTCTAAACCGAATCAAGATCGAGTTAGTGTATGCCAAATTTAACTCCACTATATGTACAAAGAGAGAGAGAGAGATGCCTCGCAAAACAAATGTAAATAATAATCAAGCTTAAACGATTGTTTTTTTCCTCCTTAGAATAATAAATAAAACCAGTGCGCGCGTACACATATAATAATAAAAATCTCGCGTATACTTTCTTTTCGCGCGGGTGAGCGTGTACATATAAATACAAATGTAACTTTCATTTTTTCCTCTTTTTTTTTCTTCTTTATATTCATATGTGTATATAAGCATTCATAACGAGGCGAATTTCGAATGCGAGAAAATCCGGTTTTTATCGATTGTGCATACACACACATATATATACGATACGACGTAAGAGGAGATGCGTCGCGAATCGAAAACAAAAGTGGTCCATGCAGTCCGCGCGTGTCTGATATATATATTTGTATATGAAATTCACTTTCATTCGCTCTCGGCAGCTGTATACCGCAGAACGAGAAAGATGATGATGTATATGTTGCTCGGATATATATGTATTTGCACGGCAGCGAAAGTATATTAAAAAGAAAGCGATTACACGCGTATATATACTTACGAGCAAAATTTCAATACACGCGATTTTCTGTTTGTGTATATCATAAGTACACCGTGTCCCGCTCGGCGGTGCGTGTAATGCGCGCGCGAAGAGATAATTATACACGCTCATTCTGTTTCGTTGATTGTTATTGTCCTCGAATCCACAGTGCGCAGGGGATGCTCGAATAGTTATATGTACTCGGCTCTCTCAAAACCCGAGTCGTTTTCAATGTTAAATAGCTCGGAGGTAAAAGTTTGTTATACGTGTGTATACATTGTTCCGGTGCAAGCAAATTATATGCACACGTATACATGTGTATTGTCGTATGCGCTTTTAAGGCTCTTTAAACTTTTTTTTTTCTCTTACATTTATAAGTCGTTGTGCGATGGTATTTAGCTACTCCTCTGCGCCTACGTTATGAAACTCTTTTATTGTGTCGTCTAGCTTAGGGGAGGGTGTATAGAAGAAGAGGTGCCCACGTTTTTTTGCTTTTTTTTCATGACTAAATCGAACGATGATGCGCGACCATTACTCGATTCGAAAAGTATGCAATTTCCTTTATTATTCTTTTTCGTATGTCTAAAAATTGTCATTAAACCCGTTATCGAATCTATATACGAGGCGCACGTGAAAAAATGTCAAAAAGACGAAATAGTATCTCGATATTATCGCTGCGTATGCATTCCGAGTGCTTTGCGGTTGAAAGCGATAATAATGATAATAATTTACAATGCTTCGCAGCGCTTGAATTTTTACAATTCTTTTCTTTCATTAGGCTAAAACTTATGGGCTGGGCCCCGCTGCTGCCATGCGTTTCGAGACGCGCCTTTCCTTTCTTTTTCTTTTTTTTTTTTATATCCCACGTTTGAGAGTCTGATGATTGTCTCTCTCTCTCTCTCTCTCTCTCTCGTCTCGATCACTTTCGCTGCATGTGTAATCCTCTCGATTCGTTTTGCAATTTTATGGACTTGCATTTTCATCGGTGCATATACGTTTACACGTACACACACCTTTTTTTGATGGATGAGAATTTTATATATCCATCGATTGAAAATGTATGCCGTGTTGTCGGTTATTTCAAGTGTTTCGCTCAGACACACAGTCATGTGTATTTATATTGAAATCTCGTTAACCTTTCCCTAAAACTCGTCTCGATCGCTTTTATCCGGTTTTTCGAATTTCGATATCGCGCGGCGTAATTTTATCATTTTTAACCTCGGCGGTCGACTATTGGCAAATGCAAGTTTTCTCAATAATTTCGAGTTCGATAATTATTCCAGTTCGTTCCTTTTTTTTTCTTTTTCGTTCGCGATTAGTACATTAGTTTCGGAGAATCGGGTTAAAAACGGGTATGAAGGTTGGAAGGAAAAAACACGTATCGGATAATTTGGTAAAAATTTTTTTATTCTTTATTATTTTTCAAGATTTTTTTGTTTGTTTTCAGTTTTCTCTTGTTTTTTTTTTTTCATTCATTACAAATTCGTTTCGGCATTTCATAGCAAATGTTCAGTTTTGCGTGCGCTCCGAATAATAAAAAAAAAAGAACACACACAGTCAATTATAAATAACACATCTATATCCAAGCACTTGAATCAATTTTAGGATGATACAGTTTCCGTACGAAATTCACACTGTTCTATATAAAAAAAAGATAAAATAAAATAATAAAATAATGATCGGGATGCAGGAGAGAAATATGATATTTAATAATAAAAAAAGGGCCAATAATGCTTTTTCTAAAAAATATATTACATCATAGATACAGAATCTCACTTGTCATCGCCGTATCCTCTATTTTTCGCGTCTTTTCAATTTTCTCTTATTTAATTAATCCGACCTAATTAACGTAAAATAATAATAATAATATTACAAAAAAAACATCAGTACGCGTGGGTATGAGAATTAAAATTAGTTAAAGAAGAGAAAAATAAAAAAATTTGTCGCTTCTCGTTTTTATTTAAAAAAAAATAATAAATAAATCATAACGCCTAAAAACTAGGATCATCTCTAAAAAATAATCTCATTCGTGACTCTTGCGCCTCTCGAGAGAGTTTGCGAGGCGCCACACACTCGTTCTCCATCGCCTCGTCGCCCGATGCGCAACTACTTTCGCAGGATACACTCGTTAAAAAAAAAATAAAATAATAATAATAATAATAAAAAATTAAAATCTTACGCATTCACATGGGGGAGTAATGGGGTATAGCTCTCGGACATCTTCTTCGGGGGACGAGGAACGAGTATATATATAAGAGTTAATTACGTTCGTAATATCAACGATAATTACGCGCTAATATTTTCTTTTTTCTTCGGAATTTTCAGAGAGAAAAAAAGCTCGATCGATCGGCTCAGTAGAAACCGTCGCCGGTCGGGTCGTTGATCCAGGGATAATTGTTGGGACACCTGACGCACGTGTGCAGATTGATGGTCTCGCCGGGCACCTCCTTGCTGGTCAGCTTGCACGAGTGTCCGCCCCAGCAGGCCGGTGTGCCCTCGACCGAGCACTTCTCCCTCCAGGGCTCGAAGTTCTTGGCCTCCGAGACGGTGCGCGGATTCTGTATCCACTGGATCACCTGGGTCATGGTGACGAAGTACACGTCGCTGTGATCCTTGAGGGTCTCGTCGATCCAGTACAGGAAGGCGTCGAGGAACTCGGGATTGTTCTTCAGCCAAGCGGCGTGGAAGTAGAGCCCGAGCGGGGCGCGATTCTGCTCGTAGTGACGATTGAAGTTGTGCGAGAGGAAGTTGTAGAACTGATCGCCGGTGAGGATGTTGGAGCAGGAGTCGACCATGGCGCAGCCGGGCAGGTACTCGTCGTTCTCCGGGTCCTCGCGACGATCCAGCTCGTTCATCACCATCTCCCAGACGGCGTGCGAGCGGGTGGGGCATTTCTGGAGATTACCGTGGCAGCGATGGGGCATGCGGAAGTACATGGTGTACGGCCACAGGGGCGGATTGTTCAAGGCCGCGGTGATGGTCGAGTCGTAGAGGAAGGCCTGCTCCTCCATCATGGTGAACTGGTTGTTGCCGCCGACGCGCAGATAGGGCGCCCTGACGCCCACCACGCTGTTGTCCGTGAGATTGGCGTACTTCTCGGCGATGATCCTCATGCCGGCCATCTCCTTGGCCCAGTCGTCGACGGTGGCGTCCGACCAGAATCTCTCGTCGTCGTTGTGCCTGTCGTCGTCATCGTTATCATTTCGAGTTCTTAACTTATCGTTTATTTATTTCAAGTTCTCTCTACTTACGAGATGGAGTGCACCGCGATTTCGTGACCCTTGCGGTGCGTCTCCTGGACGGCCGTGTAATTCGTGTACTTGTGCGAGACGAAGTAGGTGGCCTTGATGTCGCAGCCGTTGGGGTTCTTGCGCTTGCCGTTGAAGATCTCCTTGTACAGGCCGATGTTGTTGTTGTTGATGGCGTCGTCGAAGGTGATGGTGATCATCTGGGGCACGTCCTTGGCCGGCAGATCGCTGGGGATGGCGGTGCCGTCCTCCGAGCAGTAGCAGTCGGGCAGCACGCAGATCGACGGGTCGCAGGGTGGCGCGCGATTCGGATCGCTGTCCATGTCGCAGACGTTCTCGTCGGAGCCGTCGGCGCAGTCCTTCTCGCCGTTACAGAACAGGCCGCGCTCGATGCAGATTCCATCGCCGCAGGCCAGCGAGCCATCGGGGCAGAGCGGCTCCTCGGTGTAGAGCTGGGGCTTCACCTTGCGCTCCTTGTTCTTGATCTTGCAGTTGTTGACGGCCTCCTTCCAGTCGCAGGTCTGCTTGTCGATGTCGAAGTAGAGACCGGCTGGGCAGCGGATCGCCTGGAGACCCGACGAGGTGCACTGGATGACGTCGCGACAGTTGTCGCCCTCGCCCGCTACGAGACGGAACCACTCGCCGGCGTCCTTGTCCTTGCAGATCTCCTGCTCGAAGCTCTCGGCCTTCTTCTCCTCTTGGGCGACTGTTCGTGATGATAATTTTTTTTTGGTTTTTGTTATAGAGAGAAGAGTAAAAAATAATGAAACGGAAAAATTTAATACAGGAGAAAAGTCGAGTGGCCGTCCGGGAATAAAAACGTATGTACACGCGAATTATATGTATGTGTGTGTGTGCGTGTGTAGTGGCTTTCACGCGCCTAATCTCTTATGCAACTTCGGTCTCTCTCTGCCTCTCTCTCTCCCTCTCGAGAAAAACGAGACTCGCATACATCGAGGCGCGCCGTGTATAATATAAAAGGCCTTTATTGTTCCTCGTATTGTGTGTGTATGTGTATGTCTCAAATTTGCGTCTCTCTCTGTATTTATAAGCGCCGTTACTGGGCGCGGTACATGCGAGCATTTTATATTTAAAAAAAATAGCAACACATTCTCGATTGCGTTAATCCCGAGAAAGGGTTCGGCACTTCTTCTTCGTATTTTTTTTTTTTTTTTAACTTAGATATAGGCCAAAAGTGCAGAGTAGCAACCATTTTTAATGGATCGAATATAGCCTACGATGTGCGTTGGCATGATAGTACATTGCATAAAATAACTTTCTTTTCTCCCGGCCCGATTTATAATTGACTTTTACCCATAATCTCCGCTGCGTGCGCGTATCAAAGAGTTATTTATTTCGGGATGCTACGAATTTATAACGAAGCAAAAAAAAATCGTACGTACTACACTTTCTCTGTGTGCGTGCGTATGTGATACCGAAACGCGCGAGCGAGCTTCGATGGATTTATATGTATATTATAATTTATTATACAACGATCCGCTGCCGCTGTGCTTTTCGCGCGCTGCTCGCGACTTTGCGCGAGATCATTATACAAGCGAACGAGTTTGGTGAAATTTGAAGAATTTGAACCAGTTTGATTGCAAAACTCGCGACTGATTTATACATTTATTTTATATCTCTGTATACATTTATTATACAATAGTCCCCTTACGATGAACCAAGACAAAATCACGTGACGATTTTTTAAAAGGATAGCTGGCAGAAGCACATCATCGGTTATTTAAATACGAGACTATGTAAGTGTGTACGTATACGATTGAGCAATTTTTTCTCTTTTTTTTTCGAAGTAGTTTTGAGCGTGTTTGCCGCGGCATTGAGCAATTTCTCATTTCAGTTACTATACTGTAACCTTCAAAAAGGAATAATGCAAAGTTTAATCTTCCTCGTTAAATCGGAGAGACTCGAGAAGAAATTGCAAGACACGCGCGGTGGCCGAAGAGGCATCGAAGGAAGTTGCACCACACGCGCGCGTGCACACTTTGATTTAAACTGTTACTATAATTCGAAAAAAATTGAAGGAAAAAAGATAAAGAGAAAAAAACACACACGCGTACATTTTACAACAATCGAAAGTTTCGGTATAGGTAAGTGCGCCCGCTGCGCGGGGAGGGACTATATTGAGCAAACGAAGTTTTCTACTTTAATTGAAGAATCGTTACGTAAGTTTATATAAAACGAGAGAAAGAAACGGATTTTTCAAGATAACTTCTCGGCGGCCGAGAGGACTTGGTGAGTTGTTTTTCGGAAACGACAGTTCAAAGTCGATCCTGCAATTAAAAATTATTACGTGGTATATACGCTATGTCGCGCGATGCAAAAGTTTTCGCGCGGAAATCGGCCTATATACGTCTCGCGCGTCTACTTTCGTTCGCGAATATAAATTACGTTATATATGTACAAAAAGCCGATGAGAGATGGGCCGCCGCCGCTGCCGCGATGCATTTCTATGTATTTATATATGTCATCCTAGCCTTAGAAAGTCGAGCACGTATCGAGGTACTCAAAGTCCACCAGGTATAACACTTTGAATGTTTATTCGATTGAGATATATACGCGTGCGTATTTAAACTTTCTACTCCGACTGCACTGATGGATATCTTTCAAAAGGGAAATAATCAATGGATCCGGCACACTTTTCCTTCACAAATTTAGCGGTGTGTATTCGTGCGCGCGCGTGTATAGGTGTTTTTGTTTTTCTGTATCACAAACGACGATTGTTTTCTTTGGTTTTTTGTTCTAAGGCACGAGAAACTCACCGGCAACATGGCAAGCCAGCGCCAGGGCGCAGAGCCACACGAATACGCTGCTCCTCATCTTCCTTCCTTCCACCTCAGCTCCTTCGGGAGCGCGATTATCACTTAAAAATCTCTCTATCGGTCACCCACTTCGGGATGAGCGTCAAAAGTAGCACTATTATTTCTTCCTTCTTTATTCGATGATATTTTCGACTCTGTTCGAGTGCGCGAGGGTGACCGCGCGCGCTAAGCAAAGACACTGGCGCTTCCTCGATACTCACTCGCCACTTATATTTCCACCACCATAACTGTGCGTGCGTGCACGAGACGTGTGTGTTTGTATGTGTGTGGAGGGTCCCCCCAATCCTCGCGCCCCCTCCCTCCCTCCTGAGCGGTCGTCGTCGTCGTCGTCCACCCACTACGCCGCGCCGCGCGGATGACGCGCGGGCCTTATGTGCCAAGGGGGTCCCACCTTTTTGCTCCTTCGTATAAGTCATGCATAGAGTCGGTTTTTTTTTCTTTTTAGAATTTATGCAATTTTGATTGTTCGTACGCGAGAGAAGATGCACCTCCACGACGCGTCGCGACGATCCTACGACGAGAGCTTGACATTTTTTCGAAATCGGTAGATGCCATTCTTATTTATAAAATCATGAATATTGCTCGGGTCTGTGTCTCAGGTATGCTGAAAATGTTTTATTTTTTGTTGAAATTTTTGTAATAATTCGCGGGAAACGCGAAGGAGAAATACACTTTGCTAAAAATATCCAAAGAAATATTTCAAGCAGACTTACCGGTCGTAAATTAAGATACGTCTCGATAATTATTATCAACTTTTGATACTTTTCGATACATGGTACATCGATGTATAGATTTTGAAGGATAATTTTGAAGTTAGCGTTGATTTGTTGTCGATGATTATTATGCTGGTGGTTGACATTCGATATTTTAATAAATACTAGTTTAATATTATGTAATTTTGCGCAAGTAAAGATCATAATTATTCGAGTTTCATAGTTTTTCAATGAATGTAACATATTGAGTCAATGCTCATCGGTTGTTACATCTAAAACGTAATACTTCGCATAACGATTGATCTTTTTAAAGAATGCAAAAAAACGTATCCCATACGAGTCGATCGATTTTCATTGGGTAAAGAACAAAGAGTCGAACTGATCATCGCGAATTGAAAAGTAGGAATTCGTGTATGTACTAAAACTACATGCACACACTTGCGTGTTTTCGTGCGTGTGTATGTGTGTTTTTATACATATCCACAAGCAACGTTCGTTCAGTGAAAGGAAGAGTGTGTTATTATATATACACGTATATATGCGTAGTTGGCCATGGCGAAGCCTTCGAAAGAGCTTTCTCGCGCGCGGCCCCCAAGGCTCGCCAAGTCTGTACACACAGACACACATATACAGAACTGCCGCTGCTGCTGCTGCACCTGCGTGTGTATCGCGAGAACTCGATCTCACGAATACGTTCGAATCGATACACCCACCGGTCTCGCCATCTGTCGGGCAGGTCGCGAACGCGATAAGTTTGTAGCGTCCGGGACTGAGTTTACCGATTTTTCGATACGTGTATAATCGGTTTTAACGGTTGCGAGTAAGTCGCGCGTGACTTGAGCGGTAACTACTCGGCTATACGCCGAAAAGCCGATTTCGAAGCCGATAACGTAGCTTCGGATATCGATGTTTTGGCGCAATGAGTATTCGTTATGAAATTCATTTTGACTTGCTTAAATCTGATTCTAGCGAATTACTAGAATAGAGAATAATGAAGTATTTTTTAAAACTAAAATGAGATTTTTAATGATATTTTCAATCGTTCTTAAATTTCATTTCTCGTCATTCAATAGTGTATGAAAAAAGTAATAGTTGTTAGCACAAGATTCAAGTGAGATACAATCATATCGGCAGAATTTTTATTGAACTCTTAGAAAAACACCTGTATAACTAGTGGCAACCACAGTTGCAAAATGCTGAGCGACTGAATGGTAAATAACGAAATAGCATACTACATCATGATAATAGTTGTTTCAGCCGTATGAAATTAATAATAGTAGCTTCAATGAGTATCATAATAAATCAATGTTACAATGAGTTTTTTGTGTCAGCTAATTTGGTAAAGCCGTTAAAATTATTATTGGTATAATTGGAAGTAGAACACAAAAATAGGGCGTATATTGTAGTTTGATGTTCCCTACATGTACATTAGTATGGGTATATATGAATACAGGTTTTCGTAATTCGCACGGAACGAAATAGATTTCACTTATCGATGTTTTGTGCTCAGTGTGTATTGACAACGTGGCGACCAAAGGAATTTGCACATGGCATGCCAACACATACAGAGCTGTATGTACGCGTTAAGCTGGCCCGGTGTACCCACGTGACAATATACATAGATATATATTTGACTACATGACTAACCATGCATATTTAGATGTAAAATATTCGCTCGTTGTGTAAAAATGGTAAATGATATAGATGCGACTGTAGTCACGTATTTGGCGTTAGTGTAATATAAAAATGTATATAAACCCTTCATTCGCTCACGTTAACTTTCTTTCATATTTTGCGCGTCGAAAAAAATTATGCGAAAAGAAGTATAGGACACATCATAAGCTCGATTCATGAAGTGTTCAATAATTTATAATTTCTTTGTAATAAGATACAATTCAAAGAAAATGGCTAATTGTTTATTACGAGATCAATAGTATAATTTCTCCAATAATAAATGATAAGTTTAGAGTGTCTCTGTTGACATACATTTTCTCAAACTTTCATTTCACGATTTGTAAATATTATTACACTTATGTTACCTAACTCTATACATCATTACAAAACAATTAGTCGTTGATCAAGTTCCGAGTGATAAACATGGACTTCAGTGATGTATATAACTCTGATGTCAGGTAATTTTTGTTTCGTGAGAATGAAATTTAAAAAAAAAGGCATAATACTTTATATTATTGGTAATATTGCAGAGTGAAGAAGGAACCAGATGATGTTTCCCCAATTAAAAATGAAGATTATAAGATAATTGACAATGCATGCGATGCTAAAAACGACGAATTCTCGAGTTTTTGTCGAGAAAATTTAGTAAGTATTGATGTGGGACTGTTTAGTCAATATTTTGATCAAATATTTTTACTAATCTCATTTCCAGATTTATGGGCTTCGTGAAAATGATGAAAATTCTGGACCTAATAACGATTTGGAAATAGAATTCGAATGTAAGGACGAGAAGCTCGGCATTAATTTATTGGTAGTCAAGAAAATCGAGGACGATTATCCAGATCAATGGCAGGATATGAAAAATAGTTGCAATTATCAGACTCCAAAGAAAATTAAAGAAGAAATTGTCGACAAAGTAAAAGAGGAATTGAATTTGGATGGTGAACTCAGTGATGCATTTGATGCAAATGAAAAAACATTTGCTCAAAATTGTCAACGCAAAACCCAAACTGATAAGGCACGCAATCGTACCAAATATCCATGTAATATATGCGGTAAAAAATTTGCACGAAAAGATTATCTCAAGGTCCACATCGATTCAGTACATAATGGTGTTAAACATGCATGTGGTGTATGTGGAAAGTCTTTCCCACAAAAATGTTATCTCAAAATTCACATCGATGCGATGCATAATGGCATGGCACCTACTTGCGAAGTATGCGGGAAGAAATTCTTAACTGAAGCTGCACTCAAGATTCACATCGATGCACACAATGGTGTTAAACATCCATGTAATATATGCGGTCAAAAATTTTCACGAAAAAGTAATCTCAAGGTCCACATCGGTGGAGTTCATAATGGTGTTAAGCATGAGTGTGGTCTATGTGCAAAGACTTTCACACAAAAACGTTATCTCAAAATTCACATCGATGCGATGCATAATGGTATGGCCCCTACTTGCGAAATATGCGGAAAGAAATTTCAAACGAAGGATAAACTCAAGATCCATATCGATGGAGTACATAATGGTGTTAAACATTCGTGTGTTACATGTGGAAAGACATTCACACAAAAATGTTCTCTCAAAATTCACATCGATGCGATGCATAATGGTATGGTATCAACATGCGAAGTGTGCGGAAAGACATTCACACTAAAGGGTAATCTTAAAAGACACATGAATTTGATACATAATAAGACCACTTATTGTAATAAGTGCGGCAAGACATTTTCTCAAAAGAATCGTCTTATAACTCACATTAAAGCGCAGCACGAAGACATTGATCACGTTTGTGTTTAATGTGGAAAAAAATTTAAACATAGAAAATATTTATGCAGACACGTCAAAAGTGTGCATGAAGGCAATACCCAAGCATGAGATCAATACAAAAGATCTTAAAACGTACCTATTAATACCGCGCAAAATGATGAAACATCGATACAAATAAATAAATTAACATATCATAAATTAACATATATTTATTTATTAGCATATAATAAATAAACATATCATAAATTTTTGCTCAGTAGTGATGCTCAAAACACGACATATAATATAATTGTCATCGGTACAATGTTAACTGAAACGCGACATAATTATACCATATCACAATCATGTTACGCTCAGTATAGTGGTACTCAAAACACGACACATAATATACTTGTCATAAGTACAATGTTAAATACCGATACACAAGTAAGACCAATCGCAAACAAAAATTACGTTTTTTCGAAGTGGAGATGTCGCGAGGTGCAAAATTGCATAAAAATGCATTTTTTGTATATTAGGATATACGGATGTCACTAAAAAAGTATACAGCACTCCATCAGCACCGAAACAATGCTATGTAAAATTTTCAGTTCGCCTGGTTAATCCCTGCATGAGTTATCGCAATTAGAATAAAACATCAAAAATTAGCAATATTGAATGTGTATGAAAAAAAAAATTTTTCCCATAAATAACCCACAAAATATATATTACAAAATTTACACACAAATATTGATGCAAAACTCAAAATTGCATAAAAAGGCATTTTTTGCATATTAAGATACACTGATGTTGCTAAAAAAGTATACAGCACTCCGTCAACACCCTAAGAATGCTATGTAAAATTTTCAGTTCGCTTGGTTAATCCCTGCATGAGTTATCGCAGTTAGAGTAAAACATCGAAAATTAGCAATATCGAATGTGTACGACTTTGCTGCGCTCAGCATCAATTACTTTTATAAATATTTACAACTGTCGACAAAAAAATCTTTATTTTACTGACTAAATGCACATTTTCTTTAAGGAACTATTCAAAGCATATAATCTTTAACAAAAAAGGTAATATTAACATAAACATTTTTATCATCCAGTTAAGTCTTTTGAATTTGTAAGAAAAATTAGTTTCAAGATAAATTTTCTGAACATGATAAAAAATATTTCAAGAGTCAATATATTCTAGAATTTACTACCACGACCACTGGATATGGATTTTCAAGATAAAATTTTAATTTTATCTATGATTTTTTTGCAATGAAAAATTTATGTGCAAAATTGCACAATTCATTACTTTCTCATTTTTCTCGTGGTGTAGTCGGATTATTCGATATTTTTCATTTTCGTACGGAAAAATGGACTTAGACGTTTATTTCCTATTTTTCCTCGTGAACATGTAAATTAGACCCGAAGGTGAAAAGGTCTCCTTGTTAGTTTCATAATGATTATGATATTTTGAAAACTGAATTATTGGATTCTTATTTAAAGATTAGGATTATTAAACAACAACATCGGACGCTTCACTTTCTATAAAAAATATCATTTGGCTAAAAGTAATTTTGGATTTTCGACCCCCCTCAGACTCGATGAATTCATAACCTCTGCAACGAAAACATCGTAGGATGTCTATTCAATCACTGAGTAAAACATTGATTATATCTTTTTTACCCTGTGATTAAATGATTATATGCACCAGCATGTAATATAAATAGATTTACTGATAAAAAAAAGTAAAATTCAAGCAAATTAATGAAAATTTTTTTTATTTATTTCAAATGTAACATTCATTGTCAAACAAACGAATTTTTAATCCACAGCGTGTATCCATGTAGTTTTTTTTTGAGCCTCTACGAAGACGAACAAACCAGTTGAGAACTTTTCTCCTCGGCCCTCAAGAAAATGTCACACAGCTCCCTGTTCGACAGTCCATCGACGATCCCTCCCGGGCACTCCGCGGAGACTTGGCCCAGCCTCCCGATCCACCGCCGGAAAAATCCTCTCGCCGCTGTCTCGCACAGACGCTGGGCACAGATGTCGCTCGAAATTGTGCTCTGGCTCGCGTACCTTAAGTAGTCCGCGTACTCGAGCAGATCCGCGGCATCCTCGACTCGGCACTGCACCAGATCGTACAGCGACAGATTCTTGGTCAACATCTCCTTTTTCACCACGTTCACGCCGTACCCTGTTGTGCTGAGCAGAAGTTTTTTACTTTCGTCTTTCTCCATCTCGTATAATTTGTAGGTGGAGAACAGTTTGACGATCTGCAGGGCGTCATTCTTGCTCGGCTGGTATCCTGCCTTCTCGAGATGCTCGATACAGGCCAGAGCTCCAGCGGCCAGTTTCAGCTTGATGAGACCCCAGATCTGAGTATGACGCCAGTTCAAAGTCGCGGCGAAGTAGTCCTCGGTAGGAAAAACGAAGTTCGCCACGTCGGCCTGGCGCTTCAAGAGGAGACCGACTGAATTTGGCAAGAGATTCGCAACGGCATATTGAAGCGGTGTCCGGCCCATCTCGTCTTTCGCGTCGATCTCCACCTTTTGCTCCATTTCATCGGTGACCTCTAGAAACACTTCCCCCAAGTCATCGTCGCTGTCTCTCGTACAGATCAAGTGTAGGGGCGTCATTCTCAACCTGCCGATCGAGCTCGGATCGGCACCTTTGCTCAACAGCACTCGCACGAGCTCTCTGTTACAGTCGTCGGTCGGCAGAATGTATTCCAAAGCTGTCCTGCCAAAATTGTCTCGCACGTCTACCTCCACCTTCTTCTCCATGTGCTCGACGATCTTGAAGAATAACTTGGCCAACACGTGATAGTTCTTGCCTTCTTTCGCGCAGATGACGTGCAGAGGTGTCTGTCCGTGCTTATTGACCGAGTTCGGATCTGCCTTGCCCAGTCTCAGCAGCAGCTCGGCTACCAGGTTGCGATCGTAGGTCAAAGCCAAGTGTAAGCCGGTGTTACCCGTTTTCGGCTCGATACAGTCGACGTCCAAGCCGTGATCGATGAATTTCCGGCAGACGTCGAAGAGGCCCAACTCGCAGGCCAAGTGGAAGTGCGTACGACCCGAGTCATCGACGTAGTTTACGTCGAATCTGTCGATAATCTCGAACAGACTATTCATGGCGAGGGGACCATAGTATCTTATCCAAGCCGCTCGATGCACCCACGTGGTGCGATGCAACAGTGGCTTACCGTTTTCGTCGAGTTTCGACTCGTCCTTGTAGCCACTGCGAGCGACGAATTCAACGAATTTTTTTTTTTGATAATAGTTCGTCAGAATATAGCCAGTTCATTTCATCAGCTCCAACGATGTTCTTGAGAATTGGAAGTTGGCCTATCCAACCTTCGAATAGAGGCTCGACTTGGTAGAAAAAGTAATGTCTCTCTTCTTCGACCTTCCAATTAACTTTGTCCCGTAAGCTCTTCAATTGTTTGAAACAGTTGTGGTTGTCTAGAGCCATTTTTTGTAACACTCACGCAAAAAAGCACAATAGTTTATAATTTTAAAGATTTGTTCTTCTTCACTAAAAACCACTCAATGAGATCAACGCGATCAACTCGTGTAGGCGTTCAACGTGTGGCGTCGTAAGTAATACTGACTCAAAATGCACTAAGATCTATATAGATGCTGTAAAGAGCACATGGTGGTAATTAAACTTTCTCTCTTTTCCAAAATGTAACCTGATGAGATTTGATATTCGTAGATGCGCACGCTGCTGCGTTGTGACGTGAACTCACGACAAGTGAAGAAAAGAAACACGAGGTTGTAGGTGAGAGACATACAAGTATGCATGTGCCATATGCGCGGTGACGATTAAAAACGGTGAAAGTACAGCGTAGAACAGGTGACGCCCCTTTTTTACTGAGTGCGTTCACAGTGGTGGAAAAAGCCAGAGCACCACCAATGCGGCGGCAATATCAAAAAACATATTAAAAAAAAAATAATGTATAACAAATATATCAAATTTAAGACGATTTTATTACTCGGCGTAAACGATTTAAAAGCCAGGGTCAATTCGGAGTTGATTCGGTCGATGCGCACCAGTTAGTGCGCAGTTGTAACAGTTGCCGTCGCGCGGCCTAATCCTAATCAAGTTTTAGGTGAAAGCAACGTATATCTGTAGTTTCGTGTAACTCGTGCGAGTCGGTGACGATTAGAAAGTGAAAGTCCAGTGATCGAATAAATACGTGCTTTTCTCGATTGAAAAAAAAAAAAATAATAATTTATAAAATTGTGTGTCGTGTGCTAGTGCGAAAAATGTCTCGTTCAGGCGATGACCTCGTACAAGTGGATCATCCTAAGGATTCCAGAATCGACGAAACTGGACTGACTCATTTTCACGTGGCCTGCATGTCCGACCGCGAAGAAATCGTGAAAAAATTCTTAGAACTCGGCCAGGATCCTGATCTCCTTGTGCCGGAAACAGGTGACTCGCCGCTACACTTGGCTCTGATGTACGGCCGCAAGACGATCGCTGAGATGCTGTTGAGAAATGGCGCCAATCCGACTTTGGCCATTAGCAAACGACTGACTCCTGTGGACATCGTTTGCCGAGGTAACAGCTTCGATGCCGACTTGGTGAAGACGATGTTCGAGCTCGCCTGCGAAAAGTATCTATCCGTTCCAACCGATGAGTGGACTAATAAATCGAAGACTCTTTCTCAAATCATCGAGAAATGTCACAACGACGTCTTGCCGGGGATAATTGCGGAAACGATCGAAGAGCGAGTCGACCTTCGGTTTAACGAGCGGCTTCGAACCGAGCTATTTCACAAGGCCGTGCTCTACGGCAAGGAAAAAGCGGCCGAACTGCTGCTGAGACGCGGCGTGAATCCACATTTGACCGACGCACGGGGATCGACGGTTCTGCACGACGTCTGTCGAGCCCAGTACAGCCGAACAAGCGAGGAGAACTTCGTGAAGTTATTCTTGGAGATCTGCGACGACTCGGGGCGCGCGGTGGACATCGATGCTCGCGATAAGCGCGGTAATACGCCGCTGTACGTGGCGGCTCAGTACAGACGCGATGACCTGGTCAAGCTGCTGCTGAGAGTCGGAGCCAATCCAAATTTAGCCAACGTGGAGGGACAGACTCCGTTGCACTTCATTTGTGACATGTTCCAGGATCATCTATTGGTGGATATAATCTTTGAGATCGACGACGAGAAACAACGCAACAAAGTACAGATCAACTCCCAGGACAATGAGGGTAATACGCCATTGCTCTTATCGCTTCGGTTAGGGAACAAGAGGGTAACCGAAGTACTGTTGGGACGAGGGGCCGATCCGAATATTGCCAACGCGATGGGATCGACGGCTCTGCACTTGATTTCCAAGGATCACTGCTACGGACCTGGCGAATTGGCGAAGCTATTTTTCGAGATCTGCGACGACAATCGTCAGTTCGTGCAGATCGACGCCCGGGACAAGTCGGGCCGGACACCGCTGCAATTGGCCGTGGCGAATATTTTGCCACACACCGTCAAGATTCTGCTGAATCGAGGCGCCGAGATGTCGCTCTTCGTCTTTCCCACCGAGAGTTATTACGGCGCGAGGTCGTTCGACTGGAAAACTCGTTATCCCTGCAGCGATGAAATGGAAATGGCGTCCGGCGCTTTGCTCACGATCGAAATCCTCGAGAACGTAGGGTACCAGCTGAGCCGAGACGACGCGACGACGATCATGAAATTTTTCGCCAAGCACGAAATGTTCGAGAAGGTTGCTGTCGATATCGAGAAACCTTTGTACGACGATGAAAATTTAGCGGCGAGAGCCAAAACGATAATGGTAACTTCGTGTCTGTCGTTCGACGATCTGATCCAGTTGCGACCCGAAGAGGCGGAAAAACTGCTGACATATGTGGACTACTTCGAATTGGCGCACTCGGAGAAATTCTCACATAGTCTGGCTAAACGTTATAATCGGGCTTTTCATGCTCTCTGTGAGAAACTGTCGAAAGGATTTTTCCGAAGCTGGACACTGGATCCTTTCTGGGAGCTGATACACCAACGGCTGCCACTCGAGTGCTGCGAACTCATCCTTGCGAAGCTGAATAACAAAGATTTATTCAATATTTGCTTGGCCACTATTATGTTAAGGCATGACAAGGAAAGAGAAAATAACTGTTAGAATTAAAAAAGCTCCAAAAAGCTACGAGATTATATATATGTTAAAGATTGTAAAGGGTTATCTTCAATCCTACTATGAAATTAATAAAATTGGTGAAAAAGAAAATGATTTGTTGTATATTTGAGCAATATTTGTAACGTATATCAGGAAGGGGTTTGCGAGTACTCGATGTTTCGAGTTTTATTCAACTTCGAGTCAAGTCAGAAAAATTTTAGTGGTCGAAAAAGCCTAGAGTACTCGTGTTTTTTTGTGTTTCAGATTAATGAATCATGCATTACGAATCTATGAGTATCCCTGTTCATCACTTATCTAATAGTAACAAGAATTTAAAACATGCATCAATCTTAACCCGAGAATTATTGCTTGTTTCATTTACTGTTGTGAAGGCTTTCTATTTTGGGATAAAATGTTTCATTTTTAGTATAACATGGACTTTTTTGCTTTTATTAATTTTAAACAGTTAAAAAATAATAGTAAAAATTTATTATAAATAAAAAAATGGTAGATAATGCATGTGGTATTACTGTTAAATTAAATACTTAATTTTATTGTCTTAAACGCATACTTGTTTTATATTTATACACACTTTTTTGAAACCTCTCAGTTACCGCTGAGGTGACTCTACAGAAGACTCTAACATAAATTATCATTTGACGTGAGATTGGATGCAATTTGTGCATATTTTGTGATTATGAAAAAAAGGGTTTGAACGTTTTCAAAAGACTTAATATCAAAGCAAACCATTATAAAAAAGTATCATCATCATACGCATTATTATCATACAGTCAAGCCTTTTTAATACGTAAGAAATATTAGTTCGGAAAGAAATTTTCTGAACTTAGTCAAAATTATTTTGAGAGTCAATATATTCTAGAATATACTTCAAGTATTCGTAATTTAAAGAACCACGTATTTTTTCAGTAAGTTTTAGACTTGATGATAAGAATGCAAATTTTTAATTATTTTGGTATGAAGTTTTCACATTTTTAAAAAAGTATAGTTAATAGTAGATCAATTTGATTTGAATTTTGTACTCCTTTTGGTATACAACAAAAACTGCCCTCATAGGCAATTCGAATATATAAAGAATTGCGTTGGTAAAACATTTGATCGTATTTATGACGTACATGATCTTATGAAGCTCCGACAATGGTCTGATGATGATCTTTGTGTACAGTCATTTGGTGCCTGAACAAATCCCATTTGCGTCCAAATACCTTATCACACTTGTCGCATGGAAAATCCTTGCAGCTTTCATGAACTATCCTTTGGTGGCCGAGCAAATGATGTTTTTGCCCGAACCTTTTCTCGCATTTATTGCATGCAAAATCTTTCCGACTTTGGTGAACTGCTCTTTGATGGCAGAGCAAATGAACTTTTTGGGCAAATTTCTTTTCGCATTTGTCGCATGCGTAGTCTTTGCGACCTTCGTGCACTGTTTTTTGGTGCCTCATTAAAACGCTCGGATCACCAAATGTCTTCTCGCATTTTTCGCACGCGAAATCTTTGCGACTTTCGTGGGCTGTTTTTTCATGTCTGAGCAGATGCGATTTTCGTCCAAATTTTTTCTCGCATTTCGCGCATGCATAATCTTTGCGATCGTCATGAACTAAATTTTGATGCTTCGACAAATCGGTTTCATGTCCAAATTTCTTCCCGCAATTACATAAGAAATCTTTTCGACCTTCGTGGACTGTCTTTTGGTGGGTGAGCATATGATGTTTTTGTCCAAATTTTTTTTCGCACTTATCGCATGCGTAATCTTTGCGACCTTCGTGGACTGTTTTTCGGTGCTTCAAAAAATTTGATTTCTTTCCAAATTTTCTCTCGCATTTGTCACATGCGAAATCTTTACAATTCTCGTGTACTGTTTTTTGGTGGAAGAGCAAATGCTCTCTACGTCCAAATTTCTTCCCGCAATTATCACATACGTAATCTTTCCGACCCTCGTGGACAACTTTTTGGTGCTTCAATAATTCTGATTTATATGCAAATTTTCTCTCGCATTTATCACATGGGAAATCTTTGCGACCTTCGTGTACTGTCTTTAGGTGTCGAAACAAATTTGGTTTTTCTCCAAATTTCTTCTCGCCTTTTTCACATAAGTAATTCTTGCAACCATTATGGCCTGTATTTTTATGCTTGATTAAATTTGATTTTATTCCAAATTTTTTCTCGCGCTCATTACAGGTGAAATGTTTACGATCTTCATGGACTGCCTTTATGTGCAATTGTAAAGTACGTTTAGTATCAAATCTCTTCGCACACTTTTCACATAAGTAATTTTTGAAAACTTCGTGGAATATTTTATTGTGCTTGAGTAAAGTTGATTTATTTTCAAATTTCTTCTCGCACTTGTTGCATGAGAAAACTTTGCTATCTTTGTGTACTAATTTCTGGTGCGTAGACAAATTCAATTGCTTCACAAATTTCTTCTCGCAGTTGTCCCATGCAAAATCTTTGTGGCCTTTGTGTACCGATATTTGATGTCTACTCAAGTGACTTCGGAACTTGAATTTCTTTTCGCACTTGTCGCATGCAAAATTTTTCTCATCATTGTGAATTTTGTCTTGGTGTGCAAATGGCTCCTGGTAAATATCATAAACGTATTGCTTTTCGTTTAAAACAAAATCATCGTGTTTACTCGGATTATCTTCCTCGGATTTCTTCTCACTTTTATTCATTTTGGTGCCGAAATAAAACGATGAATTCTTCTGTTTGGCGCCACGGAAATTAAATAAGTAAAATCTTTTTTTCGGTAATAACGGTTTGTTTGGTCGGGAAAGACAGCATTCAAACTAATTTGGTTTTACTACAAACAGATTCTATGTATTCGAAGAACGTTATCAAAATCGTTGATAATTATATTGTTTACATTCATATATTTATAAATTTGTCATGAGACATTTAACACTTGTTTGATAAGTAATTTCTTTGTATGTTGTATTGAATACGATGAAGTATGATAATTATTTTAACACTTATTACGATCATTATTTTCAAGATCCTCGTGTGTTTTTTAGTGGATGATAAAATTGAATTGATTGGATAGTAAATCTTTCCGAGCTTTCTGTACAGCTGTCATTTGGTGCCTAAATGAATTCCCTTTTTGACTAAATGCTTTCTCGCCCTTGCCACACGCGTAATTTTAATGCCCTTCATGTACTACCTTTTTATGTTTCGTAAAATGTGATTTACTTCCAAATTTTTTCTCACACTTGTCACATGCGTAATCTTTGCGACCTTCGTGGACTGCTTTTTGATGGTCGAGCAAATTTGATTTTCTTGTAAATTCTTTTCACATTTGTTACATTCAAAATTTTTGCGACATTCATGAACTGTTCTTTGGTGCCTGATCAAATTACTTCGAATTCCAAATTTCTTTTCGCACTTGTTGCATGTGAAATCTTGACGATTTTTGTGAACTGTTTCTTGGTGTCTAAGCAAATGCGGTTTTTGTCCGAATTTCTTCTCACACTTATCGCATGTGAAATCTTTGCGACCTTTGTGGATTGTTTCTTGGTGCCTGAGCAAATGCTCTTTTAGTCCAAATTTTCTTTCGCACGTGTCACATGCGAAATCTTTTCGACCTTCGTGGACTATTTTTTGGTGTTTTATCAAATTGCTCTGATTCCCAAATTTTTTTCCGCACTTGTCGCATGCGAAATCTTTGCGACTTTCATGGGCTATTTTTTGATGTCTGAGCAGATGCCAATTTCGTCCAAATTTCTTTTCACATTTCGCGCATGCATAATCTTTGCGACCTTCGTGGACAGTTCTTTGGTGCTTTAACAAATCTGATTTACTTCCAAATTTTTTCTCGCAATTGTCACATGAGTAATCTTTGCGACATTCATGAACTGTTCTTTGGTGCCTGATCAAATTACTTCGAATCCCAAATTTCTTTTCGCACTTGTTGCATGTGAAATCTTGACGATTTTTGTGAACTGTTTCTTGGTGTCTAAGCAAATGCTGTTTTTGTCCGAATTTCTTCTCACACATATCGCATGTGAAATCTTTGCGACCTTCGTGAACTGTCTTTTGGTGTAAAAACAAAACCCATTTATGTCCAAATTTCTTCTTGCATTTTTCACATGCATAATCTTTTTGACCTTCGTGGACTATTTTTTGGTGTTTTATCAAATTGCTCTGATTCCCAAATTTTTTTCCGCACTTGTCGCATACGTAATCTTTGCGACCTTCGTGGACTGTTTTTCGGTGCTGCAAAAAATCAGATTTCTTTCCAAATTTTCTCTCGCATTTGTCACATGCGAAATCTTTGCGCTTTTCGTGGACTATTTTTCGGTGTTTTAACAAATTGCTTTGATTCCCAAATTTCTTGTCACAATTGTCACATGCAAAATCTTTGCGACCTTCATGGACGGTATTTTGGTGCTTGAACAAATCTGATATATTTCCTGATTTTCTCTCGCATTCATCGCAAGAGTAATCTTTGGGTCCTTCGTGTACTGTTCTTTGGTGTCTGACCAATTGGGATTTTCGTCCAAATTTTCTCTCGCATTTGTCACATGCGAAATCTTTAAGACCTTCATGGACTGTCTTCTGGTGCTGCAACAAAACTGATTTAGTACTAAATTTTTTCTCACAATTGTCACATGAATAATCTTTGCAATCCCTATGAATCGTCTTTTGGTGCAAAAGCATATTGAATTTTCGTGCAAATTTTTTCTCGCATATGTCGCATGTAAAGTCTTTGCGACCTTCGTGTACCGCCCTTTGATGGATCAACAACTTCGATTTTCTCTCAAATTTAAAGTCGCACTTGTCACAAGCGTAATTTTTGCGACCTTTATGTGTGGTATTTTTGACCTTCAACCAATCGGATTTACTTCTAAATTTTATCTCAAAATTATCGCTCACGTAATCTTCGCGACGCTCATGAATTGTCTTTATATGTATGAGCAAATTCTGTTTATTTCCAAATCTCTTCGCGCACAATTCACATAAGTAATTTTTAAAAACTTCGTGGAAAATTGTTT